GACAGGAAGACGTGGGGGAACATTGCCCATGGGATCGCAATGGGTCAGACACGACTTCGCAACTAACAACAACAACAACAGTTTACACTGGCAGGCTGATTGTCAATATCAAGAAAGCAAAGACATTTTGCCAAAAGTGAGTTGAGAACTAATTTTAAAACAACACATCCAAGCATATCTTATAAACAAAAGCTGAGACACACTTAGCATATAACTTAGACAGGAAAAAGGTACCTTTGTTATGGGTCACCATATAAGTGTAAGAAAATGACATACATGAATGTGAAACTTGACTGCTGCATGTAAAATGCAACTGAACCAGCAACTCCATAGATAATCTGGTACACTGGGCTTCCATGAAAGCAACAAAACTAATTGAAGCCCTGGCTTAACTGTAGCTTTTATTACATGAAACATGCTAGATATCATGTTCTAGAGTGCTTCAAACTACAGATAGTCCTCAGTTTACAACTGGTTGCATAACAATCGCTCAAATTTATGATGGACTTCAAAAATAACATACAATCTATCCTTGAAATTATAACTATAACATACAGCCCTATGGCCATGTGATCACATTTGGGTGCTTGACAACTGGCTTGCAAGACCAGCTGCAGCATGCTGCAGTCATGTGACTGCGATTTCAACATTTTTAAATCATTTTGATAGAAGATTCCAAAAATTACTCCTTGGTATACTGGATTTGCTTAATGACTGCAGTGATTTGCTTTATGACTGTCAGATAAATGATCACAAAATTGAGGCCAGTCATGTGGCCTCTTGATTTATGAATGCAATAACTGACAACCAAAATTCAGAATTCCATTGTGGTCATAAGTTGAGAACTACAGTAGCTGTATGCTGTCTAAACCCTTTTTTGCTTTTTCTTGTTTCTATAAATCTTACCCTCACAAAGCACCCACCTGACAGTGGAAATATTAGAACAGATTGGAAATTCTGCTGATACAGAAGCCAGCAGAAAATATCAGAGTCAATACTGAGGCTAGCCAAAACAGTTTCTATGATGACACATTGCTTATTTATTCCAATTTGTTAAATGTTGCTTTCTGATTAGAATAAAATATCTAAAGCAATCCACAATCAAACAATGGATTAGTCCCATAACTATGTGAATAAACTTCTACCTGATAAATTTTTTCAAGGATCTGGGGGTTTTCTAATGAAAGAGATTGTAAAGTACCTTGATTGTTTTATACCTAACCGTCAGTCTCCTGGCAGATATTCCTGATTCCTCTTATCTCCTGATCTTAGCCCAGAACTCTATTCTCATGTCTCGGTACAAAGCAAGGCCTGTATTGAGCCCCATTTGAGTCATACCAAATTACTGGTCCTTGTATTCAAGGCCTCCGCCAATCACAATCCCCCACAAATATCTGTCTGCCTTTATTTCTCCCTGGGATTCTCTCTTTAAGTTGCTTTAAATAGGGCCTTCTTCCTGCTATTCCCTCTAGGGCAGACATGTCAAACGCACAACGTCACATGACATCATGCAATGTATCAGGCCGGTTTTGCCATTACTGGTAATGGGGTGGGCGTGGCTTCCACGTGACTTGTCCGGCCCGCGGGCTGGCAGTTTGATACCCCTGCTCCAGATTCCAGTCTTTTATGAATTTTAGCCCCATAGTTCCTAAAGGAGCCTGTAAGAGGGATTTAAAAATCTTTATTACCGATAGATTAGTGTTTTAGGATGAGAACTAGTTGCTTTATTAGTGAGGTCAATTGTTAACATCCATCTAAAAAGTCATTAGGGAAGGGCTAATCTGATATCCTTTGGGAGACTATTCCAAGTGTACTGAAAAGTTGCACTTCTAGCATTAGATCCCTTCACTTCCCAGCAAGCATTCTCTACAACTAACAGAGCTTCAAAAAGATGCCAAAGATCCTGGTGAAGATGATGAGCGATCTACTTCCATATATTAGTAGAGGACAAACAAATTAGGGCCATTTCTAAAGGACAACTGAACACTCTTATTATACAGAATAAAAATTACCTATTTAAATATTGGGTTCTTAGCAGTTTAAAGTTAGTATTTGTAATTAAACTAGAAAGAAAATATTGACAGTAGATTAAGCTAGGGCTAACAGTCTGAGACCATTTTTTGAATTAGGGTTTCAAAAGTATCTCCCAAACTAAATTTCATTACGTCAGGAAACAAACAAGTGGAATGAGTTTACCACAATATATTTAATCAAACAAGTGAACGATCCACCTGCTGATGTGCACAATATCCTACATTCAGTTAGTTCTAACTTGAAGGGTAGTGATGGTTATACAATCTGCAGTTATTTGGTAGAGGGATGTCAATCATTTATTTAAACTTTTTATAACCAAAATTCCATTTACAAGAAATCTCTCTCTCTCTCTCTCTCTCACACACACACACACACACACACACACACACACACGCATACAAACAATTTGAATAAAAACATATACAGTAAAATGCAAAATAAAAAACACTATATAAACCTTTAAATGCAATTAAAGCACAATTAAAAGCCATCTAAAAGCCTGGAAAAATGAAATGGTTTTCCACCTGTAATTAAAACAATGCTAGGATGGATGCTAGTCAAGCCTCTCTAGGAGGGAATTTGATAAATGGGGTATACAACAGAAAAAACTCTGCCCCTCCCTTGTAGAGACTCACCTCAACTCATTTGGTGAGGAAACCTGATAGAGGGTCTCATTAGATGTTCTTAGGATTCAGATAGGTACAGTACTATCTGTATGCAAAGCTTAGTGCAACCATCCAAATAACAAAAATCAATCATCTCTGATCTAGATTCTTCTTGGCCAAACTAGACTCAATGATTCAGTATTAGGCCACTGCTCAATGAGCATAACCAAGATGTCAGAATTTTATCCATTCATCCCTCCAAGACAAATGCTATGAAGTGTTTTGAACCTTGGTAATTAAGTAATGATGAATAAAGTCAGTACAATCCATACTTTCTGATCAAGGAAACGATAGGATACCAACTTTTTAGAGAGAAATGGAATAATATTTAAATCCAGTATTCTACAGACAACTACTATGAATTTGAACAATGAGATACAAAAGGAAAACCCACATCCAGTTGTCTAGATATAGACAATTTTTGTCCTATGGCTATTAAATCCTATTATTTCATTATTCTGTACTACCCACATATTTATTGTATAAAATAAACATTCATTTAGCTTTAACTCAGAACGAGATTCTGCAAAAACTACTTTAGGTAGCATTAAATATAGCAGATATAAGATAAATATATTATATATTATATATTATATAAATATATAAGATATATTTATCTTATATCTTACACATCTTATACTTTTTATCTCTAATACTTAGAGATGTGCACTGTGTGATACAACATTCTCTCATCAGTTATATCGTTATCCTAAGGCAACTAACAGAGGGCAGCAGGGACTAGGAGGCAACAATTATAGAGTTCTCAGAAAATCCAGTTCAAACATCAGTTCTATCAACTAGCTTGCCAATAAGATGCACAGAATACATTTAGAAATCTGCTAAAGGAAATATTCACAAAAAGAAATATTCATTAACTTATGTGGGATCAGAAAATAGCAGCAGTTTCATCTATTTGTACAGAGTTCCCATAAGGGAGACTGCTAGCCAGCTATCCACAGTATTTTTAAGAACAAAGCTTTCCAACAGCACTATCAGGAAAAAATTAATTTAAAACCTAAATTACAAGTATAATGTGCAGTTTCTTAGACATAAGGCACAATGTCTGAGCTTTTTGAGAAAAACTTAATTAAATCATGGAAGACTTTTCTAAATAGAGAACAGTTACTTGTACTCAAAATCTTGTTCCATAGCAAGGAACAATGACGCAAAATAAGAGACTAGATAAGTCTACTGGTGCAATCTAGCTCATTTCCAAAACACATGCTAATCTCTGAGAATTAAGCTTTAATATCCCCCATCTCACTTGCAAAACATCCATTATGAGCATAGTGTATGGCAGAATTGCTATGCAAAGACCTGCTTGCATGCCTCTGTAGTTTTCCATATCTTTGAATATGCTGCCAACAATAAGAAAACAGGAAACAGTAATCTATTTTAAGAAACAGCATAAACTTTCATGAACTTCAACTCACTTCATCCAATACCTGCACAGCTCATAAAACCTTATGCTTTTTCATAAAATTGATTAGTTAGAGCAGTGGTTCTCAACCTGTGGGTCGGGACCCCATTTGGGGTTGAACACCATTTCACGGGGGTTGCCAAACAACGCAGTCTGCCATTTTTCCCCCCTTTTCCTTAGCTGTGCTACTCCCTTTTATTCTATTGGCTTTTGAAAGCCAATAGAATAGACTCTCTTAAACAGAGTCTAATTCTATTGGCTTTCAAAAGCCAATAGGATTGTCCAGGCTGTCTCTGCCCTGCTGAGCCCGCCAAAAGTCCCATTCTGCAAACGGTGCTGCACCAGTTGAGTAGTCCTCGACTTACGACCGGTTGAGTAGTCCTTGACTTACGATCGGTTGGGGGTCGCGGCATTAAAAAGGTTGAGAACCACTGAGTTAGAGAATGTGCTACCAGGCTCCTTCTGATTTGGTTAACATGGTTCTCCTCCTGTCAGAACACAGATTCAGTACACTGAAAACACACAGAGAAAAAGAGCCTAACAGAATTGCCTCCAAAATACGGGCTCTATGTTGAGGTGAACATCTACAGCATCTTGATTCTAAAATATGAAACTTATCACAGTGGCTCCCATACAAAGGTTTCTCTACATGGAAAACAGTCTCAGCACTAACAAAAAACAAAGCTAGAATTTAAAAATATTAATTTACTTTTCTCGACTCTCCAAATTGCGTTTTCAGGTGAAATCACCTACAGTCAAGTACTGGAATGCAGTATACATTAGCACTGCATTTAAGTTATTTAAGGTTTATTTTAAAACTATGAACACTGATCCTATGAAGAAATATGTCAGGCCTTATGATGGTAAGACTAAAAATGTACCTGTCCAGAGTTCCCTCCAAGTGTAATGAAGTCTCACTCTGCACTTTTTCTGGTAGCAAAGCAGCTTGTGTACTATTTGAATACAGCATCTGCAGCAAAAAGAAAGGAACCCCAACATAATTAGCAACAAAGAATTGGGAGTGGTGTATACTTTCAATAAGTAGCTCTATAAAGGATGTGTCATATAGAACTGCAACCAGTGAGGTCAAGGCTGAAAATGTTGAAACAGATTAATATGCCCAACTATTTGTAAAACAGTAACTCAAATTATCAGTATTCAGGATATCAGTATACCACTGGTACATGTGAAAGAAAAGAAGGAAGTAGATGTGGAGTTATTAAATTTGGGGGTATTTAGTTGGAAATCTGAAATCTGAAGGTGGATTAAATACTTGGCTAATATTCCACATAAATAATCTAGGTTCCAAGAAAAAGGAAAATGAAACACATTTAACAGCATTTTTTAAAAAAATTGGAATTCAAATCAGTCAAACCAAAGAATAGTGCTTCCAACTAAACCGGATATAATATTAATTGGATTCACACCAAATTCAAAATATGATTTTTATTATTTTGGGCTCTTTGTATTGCATGAACCCAACCATTAATACTTGCAAATCATGATTTATGGCTTAACATGTCCCCTGAAGTTAATCAATAATTTTTTATTCAATAAATCATAATTAACAGAGGCTTAGCACATTAAGCAGATTATTTAGATTAACAAAAACTATGCCCACTAATAGAAGTTTAAAAGCTACAGCACTCCAATCCGTCACAATATCATATACTCAGAGTTACTAAAAGTTCACCCTGGTTCACTCATAATGCTAAACTGTGGCTTGTTTATTTAGGCTTAATATGATATAGGATCTACTCATTATGGCTTAAAATTATGTTATATGAAAATCATTTAATATCTGTAGGGAATAGGTAGAGTGGAAAAAAGTTCCAAAGGCAAAAATAAAAAGAATTTTAGCTAGCCGTAGTACAGGAAATACATGGAAGCTATTATTTCTGCCAAGGGTGGTATTAAAAAATACTGAATGTAAGGCTGTCAAAGCTTCTGCACCTGCCATCTTCACTTTTCCTTTTTTTCAATAATCTATACACAAATAATAAGTCTGCATTCCATTTTCCAGAAAAGTGTCATGTTTAATTTTATACCATGGAGAGGATATATCAGCTTCTGTTCACTTAGGTATGCATTGAAACATAAAATTTGACCAGAGGGGCCTTTTTACATGCAACTGTATGTAACCCACCATGATGTTCCCTTTGGAGATAAGCAACTACCATATGATGTTAAATAATTTAGGAAAGTAAAATGGGGATTCAAATCATTTTTCTTAATTTTTTTATGGACTGAACAGAAATATCATTGTTTGGAATTTTGAAGAGCTCCTAAAATTGGCTAGTTTCGTGTAGTTGTTACTCACACATAGAGATCCATGGGAAATTCTTTCATCATGTGTGTTATTATGAATTCCACCATCAGATCTGCAAAAAAGTCATACAAATATTTAAAGATACAGGATTTATAATCAGTTGCCATTCTAACTGAAAAGTCTATCATTCTTGGCTAGTGTTATCCACTGTTAACCCTAACCCTAACCCTAGACATAACATTATTATGTATAATGATTCCAAGCTATACTTGTTGGGAAGAGAGAAATCCTACACCTTGTACAATAAGGAACTAAGGGACAGGAAATATAACTATAATTTGGAAGAGAGGAGGGACTCTCTCCCTTTATCACATTCAGCCATTCAGTATTTCAGGGAATGTGAAGTAGTGTTACAGAAATGAGTACATTATAAAAAAGTTGCACCTTGCTCAAAAGTCATAAGCAAGGGCATAGAGGAAGGGGGAAATTAAAAAAAAAACCCTGTTCTTTGACATCAGACTGTCATTGCCTTACAATTTCTAAGACACTGCTTCAGCTGGATTATCTTCCTAGTGCAAGAAGAGTGCCACAAAAACCAGAAAAAAATCAAAGAAGAAGCTAAAAGTGCACAAAAGTAAAGAAAAAAGAAAAATAGAAAAGAAAAAAAGTTGCAAAGAAGCTTCCAATCTTTACAGAAGTCAAGTTATAAATTTACCTCTTATTTAATTTTTAGATTTTTTTTATCCCATCTTTATTCATTTATAAGTAATTCAAAGGAACAAAAAACAAACATAATGCTCCTTCCTCTTCTATTTTTATGAAGTTGTTTGAGGTTAAGAGAGAATGACTGACCCAAAGTCACCAAGACAGCTTTCATGCCTAAGATGATACTCAAACTCAGAATCTCCTAGCTTCTAGATCAGCACTTTAATCACTATACCAAACTGACTCTCGGTGGTTACAACGTACGTCTCTTTTTTCTATAATCTATCCTGTTTAATCGTCAAAACCACAAACCACAAATTCATTTTTTCTGTTTTATGCCAAAAGTCCAAAAGAGATTTCCAGCCAGCAATAAATGTAGATAGTCTTTCCTCTAAATCCTACGTGTATTTGAATCATTTTTTAAAAAAATAAAATTTATTAAAATGCTGATGTAAAACTTGATCCCTTGTCTTCTTCCAGACCAAACACACCAACACACCCTTTGGAATATTTCTTTTTCTCACAAATCTTGTTTTTGTTTATATAATTTATTGATTTTTGCCTCTGTGTCCTCCTTACCACAATCCCCCCAAAAATTGCTAAAGATTTAATAATCTTTTCTCTAACATATTCACCAGAATCCTCTGGGATCTCTATAAATCTCAAACAAAAAACCTTTTCTCTCAATTCCAAATTATCTAGTTCTCTTTCCAATTCTTTGTCCAGAACGTCTGTTTAAAATTTCCACTTTGTTGTTAATTTATTTTACATCTTCCAATATTTGTTTGACTTCTTTCATCTCCTCTTTTATCTTTATAAGTCATATAAAGCCAATTGCTCAAACAAATTTCTGAAACAAATCTGGCATAATTCCCCTCTCTGCAAGTTGCTCTGGCGATCCTGTCTCTTCCTTCATTTTTGCCATTTTTTGTTGGTTGCTATTATAATCCAAAACTAAAAATGTCTCAAGAAAAGAAAAGAGTAAAGGGAAGATACTTTTTTCTACTTTGTCTTCTTGCACACTTAATACTTTTGCCTCAAGTGTATTCCATAGTTACAGACAGCATCACAATCAGCAGCTCCGTAATTACAACATCACTGTCAAACTTACATTACTTTTAACTTTTGTTTCGTAAAATCCAATTGTTTGCACTTTTTAATAGTAAACAAAAAGCATCCCACAAAGGTCCAGTTCACACTTTCACCAAAAAATAATATTTCAAAATAAATATCCTTTATCTATTTTAAGATCATAAGAAAGCCTGAGCGCAAAAGAATTGAGGCCTTTGAATTATGGTGCTGGAGAAGACTCCTGCAAGTCCCCTGTATTGCAAGGCGATCAAACCGGTCAGTCCTAGAGGAGATCAACCCTGACTCCTCTTTAGAAGGCCACATCCTGAAGTTGAAACTCAAGTACTTTGGTCGCCTAATGAGAAGGAAGGACTCACTGGAGAAGGGCCCAATGCTGGGAAAGATTGAGGGCAATAGAAGAAGGGGACGACAGAGAATGAGGTGGCTGGATGGAGTCACTGAAGCAGTAGGCGTGAGCTTAAATGGACTCCAGAAGATGGTACAGGACAGGAAGGCTGGAGGAACGTTGGCCATGGGGTCACGATGGGTCGGACACGACTTCGCAACTAACAACAACCTATTTTAAATGTTATTACATCCACTTATTAAGCTTTTTGTCAAAAGTTTTTAAATCTTTAAAAATCTTTCTCTACTTGTAATCCAGAAAAAATTATGATTCACCAAGTGAATTTTTTTTTGATCCTCCTGCTCAGAAAATCTCTTTAGCAGTAAATTAATTACATCTGAAATTATTCAGAAAATGAGGCTCATGCAAACCTTATGTCCATATAGGCTCCATTACAGCTATGAGCTTGGTTGAAAATTCTTGACTATCAGCAACTGATTTCATGAGCCAACAACAAAGACCTCAGTTTCTGCAGATTACTGACAAAGGGTGCAAGTAGGCAATCTCATGATCTTTCTTTTTTCAGAGAGCCTGCGCCAGCCAGAATTTATTGTTTGACCACAAATCTCTGCTGTAATGCCTTTCTGCTCCTTCAGAAAGGACCTTGCTCCTAGTATTATTATTAATCCTCACATATCCCAGCAATTCCATTTTCATGATAGGGAGACATCACAGAAATAATGTCTGTTATGTCTCCCTATCTAATTAGTTGCTTATCTGTCTGAAAATGATAGATATTTTGTCTATGAACTAGAAGTATGCATGATCTACAAAACAGTCCATCACAGAACCTTCATACCGTACTGAGTACTCCAACCCTCAAATGTTCCATAAAGAGAGCAGTTAAGTGGTTCAGGCACTGGGCTAGAAAGCAAGAGACCATGAGTTCAAATACTGCCTTGGCCACAAAAGCCAGCCGAGTGTCTTTGGACCAGTCAAATCTCTCTCAGCCTAACTCACCTCACAGGGTTACTGTTGTGGAGAAAATAAGAGGAAGAAAGCGTTAGATATGTTCATCGCTTTGAATTATTTGTAAAAATAATAAAGGCAGCACTAGGCACATTCAGCTTAGTACATTCCAAGGTCAGAATGTTTTTGAATGAAATATTTTGCAAAGCACTATTGTTAGTTTCTTACTCTCTTACGTTAAAACTAAAATAATGGAATTACTTCTACTCCAATGGCAAACTAAGGGTTGATCTAAGTATTTTCCTTCTTCTTTTTGGCATAATAAATCAGGGATCTAACATGAAAGAAATTTTCCCTCAGTAGTTTTATTGCATTTCCTGCCTTTCCTCCAAGAGCCCAAAGAGGTTTACATGTAGATCTCACTTCCTTTTATCCCATATCAATTCTGTGAGATAAATTGGGACAGTAAAGAATGCCTGGCACAAAGTTACCCAGTGAGTTTCATGGATAAAAATGGACATGAACTCCAGCTTCTTATGATACTACTGATATATAATTTGACTATCATCTAAAATTAATTTAGCTAGATAGATGTCTCTGTGAAGGTATTAATTCCAAGGAATAAACTTGTGAGAATTCCAAGCATCCCATCTTCCAATTTTTATTTATCTTTTCCACTGTTACTTATATTAAAAAAAACTGTAATTGCTACAATTGGCATTATATCAAATTGGCAAGTTCCTATAGGAAACAAGTATCAAAAAGTTGTTTCTCCAATGTATAAAAATATCTGACAAAAATCTTAATAGCAGTTTAAATTACAACATCACCTACACTCAGAAATATTTTACTCCAATACATAAACACAATATATTTATTCTGAGTTAACAAAATAACCCAAACAGCTTTGCTAGTTTTCCTCTATCAGTATTCAAAAAACTGTAAAACAGAGGCATTCAGTCCTCTATAAAAACATTCTATACTTAATTGTATTTATATACAGCACTCACCCTATATAGGTAATCCTCGACATACAACAGTTCATTTGGCGACCATTCAAAATTACAAGGACACTGAAAAAAGTGACCTATGACCATTTTTCAGTTACAACCTTTGCAGTATCCCCATAAGCATGTGATCAAAGTTCAGATGCTTGGCAATTGGTTCGTATTTATGACCGTTGCTGTGTCCCAAGGTCATGTGATCAACTTTTATGACCTCCTGACAAGCAAAGTCATTGGGGAAACCAGATTCACTCAACAATCTGGTTACTAACGTATCAACTGCAGTGATTCACTTAACAACTGTGGCAAGAAAGGTCACAAAATGGGGCAAAATTCACTTAACGAATGTCTCACTTAACAACAAAAAATGTGGGCTCCACTGTGGTCATAAGTCAAGGACTGCCTGTATAAAGGAATTTAACCATCTAATCCATTATGATATAAAAGTATTTTAAAATAAATATATTCCTTCACTCTGCAATTAGTTTGGGATGAGTTTGTCTAAAATGTTTTCTACTTCTTGCCAAAAGAAGGAAGCAATAGGTGGGAAGCATAGAACTGTATTATATTGGTAAATGAAATACATTTCAGAATTAGGTTATAAATATTTCCCTTCTTGCACCAATCCTTTATCCCCCCCCCCCAATCTGTGAAGAAGCTGTTGACAAAATCTGGCAGGTACGCTTACTTACCCAGCACTGCACAAACTAGAGGTCGACAGGGAAGATTCTTATCAGCAGCTTTCTTTCTGTGTCTCATAGGCTTCAAACAAGTGAATATGAATTAGTCAGAAGGTATAAAGCAATAATCACCCAAACCACTATTTTCCATATAAATCAAACTGTTCAGAAAAGGAATGTTTTCATCCTCTCATATACGTATCCACAGTTGGGCACAATAGTGGAAAAATCATGATGTTCACATGATGACATCATCATGCAAATCCAACCTTTATCTGCTAGCATTCTGATGTCAGAAGCAAGTATGCTGCAAGTATGTAATTTTGGGAATTTCTGTTATAGCATTATACTGCATATTACTTCTCTTCCTCTCTCTGTAAACATCACTATCCTCTTCTATCCTACAGCAGTTCTTTTATTAATTAGGCTTTGAGCAAAAAGGTAGCTTAGGCAACTGCAATACCAACCAGAGTAGAGAGAAAATATTGAGATAGCTGGATAGATTTTCTTGTTATGATTGTTTGTTACATCTTTATCTATCAGCTGCAAAAACAGAAGCAGCAGCTATTCACACAAGATGATACAGGCTGCCTTTGCCCAATATACTTTGATTAGTTGACTCAGGGAGGTTTTTTTTTTTTATTATTATTAAATTTTTTCAGAAATTTTACAAATAAACATCCACCCCCCCCTCCCAAACCACCCCGCCCTCCCCCCCCCGACTTCCCAGAACTGAATATAGGATTATTTAACAAATTTTAAAAATAACGTTTACAATTTATAAGATAATTAATAATAATAATAAAAATCGTAATCATAATATATATAATAATAGTATACATAACATAAGCTTTAAAGTGAATAATATATACTAAAAAAAAAAAAGAGGAAAAAAGGAAAAAGAAAAGAGAGAGAGAAAGAAAAAAAGAAAAAGGTAGACGAAAAATAAAACATATATAAAAAAGTATATGAATAATAATACATAAAGCGTAAAAAAAAAAGAAGAAAGAAAGAAAAAAAAACAATCATTACAAGTTATAGAAAAGCTAAATAATATTTTTCCATATCCAAATTATGTTGTATAAAATTTATCCATTTTTCCCATACCGCAAAAAATTTCTCTTGAGATTGCTCCTTTAAAAAAGCCGAAATCTTTGCCATTTCTGCCAAATACGAAACTTTATAAAACCACTCTTGTAAAGTAGGCAAGGATTCCTTCTTCCAATATTGTCCTATTAACAGCCTAGCGGCTGTAATCAAATTTAACATCAATATAACCTCCTTAGCATCACAATCAATAACAATACCTAATAAAAATATTGCGGAGTAAATTTTACCCTCTTTCTAAAAATTCTTTGAATATTCCACCATATCTTAATCCAAAAAGCTTTTATATGCTTACACGTCCACCAGATATGATAATAAGTAGCATCCAAGTGTCCACATCTCCAGCATTTCGGCTGTAAATTAGAGTACATAATGGACATTTTCTTTGGATCAAGGTGCCATCTATAAAACATCTTATAAAAATTCTCTCTTAAATTTTGCGCTTGTGTGAATTTAACATTTCTTATCCAAATAAGTTCCCAAGTATCCATTGAAATCGATTCACCAATATTCTGTGCCCATTTAATCATACAATCTTTAACTAATTCAGATTCTGAATCCAATTCCACTAAAACCCCATAAACTCTCTTTATATGGGTTGGCCTTTGATCTCTTACTTGTTTTAGAAGAATTTCATCTTCTCTGAGCCAGCCCATTTTACAATCCATCTTCCATCTATCCACTATTTGTCTATATTGGAACCATGAATAAATTAGATTTTCATGTGTTAATTCTTCCAAAGATTTTAACTGCCAGTCTTGGCCATCCCATCTAAGTAACTGTGCATAAGAGACCATATCCATATTAACCCCTTTCCTTATGCCTTCTATGGCATGCCGAGGTATAGCCCATAATGGTATTTTAAAATCACATTTATAATACTTCCTCCACACTCTAAGCAAAGAGATTCTTATAATATGAGACTTAAAAACCCAATCCACTTTTTTATTAAATATTAAATAGGCATGCCATCCAAAAAGTAAGTCCCAACCTTCCAAATGAAGTATTTCTATATTTGTTAAATTCACCCAATCGCTGATCAATGTTAATACTACAGCATCATAATACAATTTCATATTTGGTACCTTGAGTCCACCTCTCTCACGAAAATCTTGCATTATTTTAAGTTTCACCCTTGGTTTTTGACTCAGGGAGGTTTTAACATAACCCAGTCAGTGCATGAGTTAGAATACATCAGATTTAGTTCAAAACAGGCCAGGGTTGTTTGTGGTTAAACTCACTTTCCTTTGACAATTATGTTGTAAGAACACCAGAGAGTGTGTTAATAAAGGTTTAACTTTGTCTGCTGCTGAAACAAAATTAAATCCTACAGTTACTCTAAAAATGAGTGCTTTAGGAATTTCCACTCTTTCTCCATTCTATTTTTAACCTTTTCCTCCTGTAGTCACATAGTATAGGACAGTGATGGTGAACCTTTTAGAGACCCAGTGCCCAAATTGCAACCCAAACCCCACTTATTTATCACCGGTGCCGAGTGAGCGTGGCCACGGTGGTCATGGCAGACTGGGTGGGCAGGGCCAGGGAGGCGGGGGCCAGTCCCTTGCCATCTCTGGAGCATGGCATGCATGCCCACAGAGATAGCTCTGAGTGCCGCCTCTGGCACGCGTGCCATAGGTTCACCACCACTGGTATAGGATGAAACAGAAAGAAATTAATAGGGTTAGTAAATTTCCTGATTGCTTCTAAAAATGTTAAAAACAACAGGAAGTGATACATTTTAGCAACCATTGAAACAGCTGGGAACCCATGAAAAAATCCCATGGGATAGCAGATTGCATCTGTCATATCATTTTAACACTGCCTTGTCCACATATGAAAGTATACATACATATATATTATTCCTTAATATCTCCCTAGATCTAATTGTTTCTCATTGCCTCAATGCAAATTGTTCTACAAGCTCACCCCACTCAAGAAATTAAGATGAGACTGCTTGACCCTGACTATGAGCCAGTCTTGCATTCTGCAATGAACTACTGGAATAGGGGTGAGAAGATTAAGAAAAATAAGCCCAGATCACCAAGTACACTTAACATTCACCAGAAACTCTCAGATGTTTACCGACATCACCATGCAAATGCTTAATACCAAAGCATCCATTTTATTTATTGTGATTAAACATCAACAAGTGACTCTGTGTGGCAAACAGAATTAAATTAAAATAAAATAAAAAACAAACTTACAAGGGATAAAATACAAATCAGCTGAAAAACATCAAACCCAAATCACTAATACAACCAAGAAGTGAAAGAGAAAAAAAATATTCTAAAGCTGACTTTGCCCTAACACAGTTTCTGATCAAGACAACTTACCATTCTGTGGAGGTTTACACGAAAATTCATATTGTCATCATGCAGAAAAGCATTAGCATACTGGTCCTATGGAAAAAGAAAAATAACCAAAGTAAGCAAAATCACACATAACATCAATGTAGTATTGCCCTTTATCACTGATCTGCATCAGGAACCTGAAGAGGTTTTACAAAATTCACACAAAAATGTATTTACTATACTTCTTTACTAAATAATGCACAAACCTATCAGAACCACCTTTTTAAAGGAAGCTCTGTTGCTGAAGTAGCAACATTAATTCTGAAGCAAATTCATTCCAGAATCAACCCTAAATACACTGTACTGTATATGATCCTCCCATTCAATTTCATAATTAAATAATCCATAATTACATGATCAATGCATTGTTTTCAAATTACTGCTTCAATAAACTCAGAAGACAATTGCAACAGTTAATGATGAACATTTGAATGAATTCAATGGTTGTTTTATGGCAGCTTGAGCTACCATTTTAAACATCCACGATCTGGCAGCTTCCATGGATTTAAGATTATTAAAAAACAAAACTGATGGAGGCTAAGAATCATGACATGTTTAGTCTAACAAGTTATCAAATTGTTAGGCCAATACAGAGTGAATCAGAAAAGGTAATTCCATCTACGAAATATAGATATGAACAAATACTCTTTCTCTCATAAAAATGGAAAGAGGAAAGCACTATTACATTTCAAAAGTTTCCCATTTCTGACTCTAAGTTCCCTTTCTCAAGCCTCCTTGTTTTCTAAGGCGAAAAGAAGACCTCCTTTTATATATGAAAAACAAACAAGTGGTGTCCAATATTTACAGTCTTAAGAATTTTTTTATCCTAATAAAAATAGTAGCTAAATGAGAACTATGTTTTCAGTTAGCCAAATCTCACCAAGATTTATTTCTCAAAACTGCAGTGATTATCGTTCAGTTTCAGAGATGGAGGAAGGTAAAGGAATGCATAGATCCTAAGTTATTGATTTTTAAATATGCTACTGAGATGGAAGATATGGACAGGGAAAACTTACCTCTGCTATGCAGGTTAAGATAATCAGGCAGAGCTTTCCACTATGGAGCCGGTGTTCATCTGCAAATGAATATCATGAGGTCATAATATATGTAACCATTCCTCAGCATGTGAAAAAGTCAATACACAAATCAGAAATCACAGAAATCCATAAGCACAACAGAGCAAGAGATGATACAACATGGTACTTCAACTGTACTTCAAAGATATTACTTAGAATCCCACAATAATAACGATTTTGTTATTTTTATTTTTAACCCTATAGCTATCTTCTTTTTAGTCTTTTCCATTGTTAAAGAGATGATGATTCTCTTGACTATCAAACAGCAGCCAGCATTGCTGCTTGCCATGAGGTAGCAGATTCTCAATGACCCACCCAAATGAACCCTGGTTTAATAAACTGGGAATTGCATGACTTTCATACACTTCCACACTGCTCTTTTGCTCTAGTCTTCCTGCTGAGAAAGCAGACTATCAGTCTACATTAATCATAACTTCTGTAGTCAACCTTAATTTGTTGCAATATCTGAATCATTTTATATGAGTACATGTGACTGTATAGTTGTATATAGGTACCTTTAAATACCAGTAACACACCTGACATCCACTGATGACAATTGAAAAACAAGCTGAAATGCTCTTTTTCCAGGAAAGAGAGCAGCTCTAGAGACCAATAATACTTTAGGGTCTTGTTATCTTTTCACTGCAAAATCCAGAGATTTACTGCTCAGGTGTCACAGTTAAGTCTCATCCTTGGGGATTACACTGCACGCACTATTCCTTCATGCCAAGCATTTAACTTTAGATTCCTGCAGTTACATACTAGTGATATGTTTATTTACCAGCATTTTTTTAGCTACATAATTGCTTTAAGCAGTGCCATGCTTTGTGCTTTAGCCCTGAAAAGACTTTCCAAATCTTAAATGCATTATACAATAGCACAGGTTCCCTGAGAACAACGCCAATTTTGACCCTGTTACGGGTGTGAAGAAACATACAGTGAAGACTATTCTATGTAGTTACATATTGGACCAGAATTTGCTTGTTCTCATTGTCAAAGTAGAGACTATTAACAAATAGAAAACACCAACAAAATAATAGTAATTAGAGGATTCATTATAAAGTACTGCTACACTAAATATTTCAAGAATTGAACTAAGCATCAATTGTGAAAACTCCAACCATTGAGGCAGATAATTAGTCACTTCCACTATAGCAAGCAGCATTCAATACTGAACTATTATCATATTCCTAATTAACAGAAAAAAGGACAAATAGAATTTATAAACATTCTACATTTAAACAGGGGTAAACGAAAACTTTCATATTGAAAATGAAATTTAAATCAAACCATAATTTGCAGAAATTTCTCTTAATGCTTAATGTCAATATAGTGATTCAAACTGCAATGCAAATATAGAAGGAACTACATAATGCTACCTTGGTAAGTTTAGGGGCTCATCACATCTATTTCTATCATTTAATTCAGTGGCGTAGCCTGGACACAATATAAATCAGGACTGGTTTAAACAAAGTGTGGTAAATCAGAATGTCCAAAACACTACAAGCAGTAACTCATAGTTAACTTTCTAGAAATAAACCAGTTAGAATCTATGATTTCAGATGGTTTATAATTCCCGTTTTAATGATACAGTATCACACATCCCAAATTTCTGGAGTGGTTTTACAACTAGATCACCAATGCATGACGCTGTAAAGCAAAAACACAAACAATTAAAGAAACATGCTTCAAGCTTATCCACCCTCATTTGCTTTCTCCTTCCATCTCATCCTTCTTGGCAATATTTTTTTTCATGACCATTAATGTCTATTTCAACTCAAGGTGCAAGACAGAGGATAGGGCTTGACCTCATATGCAAAAAAAAAAAAAAAAAAAAGCACAACACTTTGATAGCAATTTCATAGAAAAGCAGACAGTGATTCTCTAAAAGAAAATCCCCAAGAAGAACATATACTACTTGTTTAGCAAGTATCACAGTGATTGCTCGCAAATCCAACTTTAATGAATTGTAGTAAAAAAAATATTTTTGACCAATATGTACACTTACAACCAAATTTTTGCATCTGAACAATACATGCAGAGTGAAAATAATGCCATTGTTGCTGCATGATAACTTTGTCTAAGTGAGATAGTAACAACCAGAAGTCTCTTTCTCTCTCCCTCCCTCCTCCTCCCTCTCTCTCTTTCTGTCACATGGTTTACTTAGTGACCATTTTGCTTAACACCAAAGTTGCTGGTATAGATTGCAGTCACTAAATGAAGAGTGGCTGAATTCTACATAAAAATTCATCATTTATCTTTACATAAAAATGTAGATTCAATAAGAAAACAGACACATATCTGACACAAAATCCAACAACTCCAAGGGAGGGGAACACTTGAACAGACATTCCCCAAAAGACATAAAAGCCAAAATGTATTTCATAATTGTATGCATATATGTGCACAGGCAAATACATATATTAACACAATACACAGTATAATACAAATGCAAACACATACATATATAGAAATACTGGGTTCAAAGGGTGAAGCAAAAACAACTATGAATACATAGTTATCCATGTGTGAACCATCATCTTCCAAAACTTTTTGTAGAAAGCCAAAACTTTTAAATTCAAGCTAAATCCTATCACCTTGATACAACTTTCTTTTACCAACTCACAACAAGCCAGCTTTGCTAGCTATGAAGCATCACATGTGTTTTGAAGAGTGTGATAACGTTTATTCTCAACTCAAGACTTCTGTCTTACGCAGTATTCCCTTTGGGGTATTCTCATAAATGCAGTGCTATATACCCTCTCTATCTTTTGCTAACTTAGGTATAATTGTCAGCTGTTTTATTTACTTGGAAGAATGTGCCAAATCTTTTTCACACATTTTTTTCTATATTTGGTTTTTCTCTCCTTCAGCCATCAAAGCTCCTTGATCTTTTATAATTGTCATCTGGCAATAAGAAAACAGATCATTCTGTCAGTCTGAAGAACTTTACTATCCGCAAGGAATTAGCTGAAATTATTTAAGCAGTCAAGTTGGTAACAAGTTTCCCCCCCCCCAGTTGATTTCAGAAATACAAAGCTGTATTGATACAACTGCCTACCTTTGGTATCCTGCATGACAATAGAACTGTACTTTAAGAAGGTTATCAGCAGGTTGCTTGTCTGCACGTCAGCATCCAAGGGAAGCTCTACAGTGCTTATGACTGAGAAAAATCAGAGAAGGTTTGCTCATCAGTAGAATTGAACCATCCACAAATCCCTCCAAATGGAGATAAAGCAACATGTTTCTATTATTAAATATTACAAACATTTCTCTTTATTTTAACAGTTGTTTATGACAGGGGTCCTCAACCGTGGCAACTTTAAGACTTGTAGACTTTAACTCCCAGAATTCCTCAGCCAGCAAGTCCACAAGTCTTAAAGTTGCCACGGTTGAGGACCCCTAGTTTATGACATCCGGCAGAATCATTGTAGATTATCAATTTGGAGATAAGAAAAATCAATCAACATTGCCATGGCAACTGCAATGAAATGGGATCACTCCCAAATAAAGCACATAGTGTTTCTCTTGGACAGGAATTTTGTTATGGTTGTTCCCTGGCATTTGTGAAGTTATTTATTATTTTGTAACATTTATGTTGTTAGTTTTACAGTTATTACTGCTCTGGAGGTTGCTCAAAAATCAGATATCATTAGAACAACATATAGAAAAAAAACCAATGTTAAAATGTTTTTCAAGGTGTGGCCTAAACTTAGAGAAAACATGACATTCAACATCACTTGCCTTCCAGTTGTTTATTTCTTTGACAACAAGAAAGTTTATATGCAAGTAATGAAAACAAATAACTAGACTCTATTCTCCCAAATTAGCATACTTGAGATACCAAAATATTCCATTACTCCTCAAGGACTGTTAAAAACTGAATTGCCCTACTTGCTTCTTCAGTCTTAACCAACATGGATCTTATAAGGTTCGTACAAACACCAGCCACAAAATCCAACTATTTCTTTCCATCTAATGATCAGTACAGAAATATTTTGTTTTTGTTTTTTCAGAATTCTCTTGAGCAGAAGAATTGTTTTTAAGACTTTAAGATAAAATGGCTTTATATTATTGCAAGTCGAGCGTGTTCTCTGCTTTCATGTCAGAAATACCAAGGGATAATTGTAAGCATAATTAAGTATTTGAGATAGATACATTCAATAACAAATCTTTTCCATCACATAAAAACAGGAAAGGAAGATATTCTCATCAATGTCAGAAAAGCCTGAAACTCAGCAACACGGCCCAGAATCACTTTTCAAAGCAAAATGGGCAGCATATAAATTTAATAAAGAAATGCAATTTCAGAAGCACTCAATCTTCCAATATTAGCCTTGCTACACTCAGACTAGTTAATATGCATCCAATAGCTAAAATAGGCCTTGAATGGTCATCTATGATGTATACAGTGAATGAATATAACAATAACAGGCAAATTCAACATTTAAGATACCATGGTGATAGGTACTTTATACAGCTTTTGCAACAACAGAAAAAGGTAGGTCTTCTATCCTTAATCACTATGCAGAAACTTGCTACCTATCTTATCTTTAAACCTGTGTCACAAATAGATACTATTTGTGGGACTGCCTATCCCTGAGGCAAAGTTATTTGATGGGACCTAGGAGGTGTGGTTTTTCTGTGACAGCACCAGCCCTTTGAATAATTCCATCCCCCCCAAAAAAATTACCTAGGATGACCCCAAGCTTCCAGAAAGCTTTAAAAATCTGGTTTCTCCTCCAGGCAATGGGAGAGGATTACATATGAACCCATCTTCTGGGAGATGGTATGCATGTTAGATAACCCAGGCTGTGTATGGTCTAATATATTGGTTATGGATTTCGTTTCTGTTTTGTATGTTTTTTTAATTCTAATTATTATTTTTTGTTTCTTTTTTACTTAATGTGTGCCATCTGAAATTGTAATTACACATATTTGGAGGGCATAATAAATCTTCTAAATAAATATTAATTTGAAACATTAGAACAATTTTTAATGTGTGGTACAAATCAAAAACAACACAACTAATCCAAAACTCGAGACTTATTTTGCAAAATCCGGCAGCAGTTAAAGTACTCAGGATTGTATCTTCAAGATATAAACTGCCTTTTGACTTTGAAAATGGCCATATCTAATATAAACTGTAAAGCAAAATACTGCTTTATTCATCTGCATTTTTTGTGGCACAGTATGAGTGGGAATCATCCTGGCCTGTTTTTTTTTTAAAGGGAAGTAAGAAATACTGGGGAGCAAGAAAATGTGGACACGTTCCTTGGGTCCAGAAAGTACAGAAAAAGTATGAAAACTATAAATAAAGTCAGGTTTGTATTGATGCAGGCCAAATAAGAATTCCTTTCATAACATTAATTAATCGCCAGGAAATAGAAAGTAGCTCTCTCTGTGCATATTTGGATTTGTCTATGTAAATTAGAAAATGAGAGGAAAAGAGAGTTGAAGATAAGCACACAAATTTTGCCTGCTGCATTAAAAAATGTGTGTAGGCAGATATATTTGCAGTGAATAATATGAAAGAAGTTTAAGCAGCTCTTAAATCTTTAGAGGTAGAAGACAGAATTATTTTTCAAAAAAACCTTAGGCTTTTGATATCCATGGCAACGAGGAATTTATCTTCTCAGAGAAAAATACTCTTCTACCAGGATACCAGAGTGACCTTAATAGCAGCTATTACAGGATAAGACTCTGTTGTCACCTAAATGCTTATAGAGTTTTATGAAATATATCTTATTTTTCCATTAAGATATCTGTAACACATAAAGTAGTCAGCATACACAGGGCAACTATACAGTTGGATACGGACAACTGATCCTATTATCTAGAACAGTGTTTCCCAAACTTGACAATTTTAAGGCATGAGGATTTCAACTCCCAGAATTCCACAGCCAGCAACGCTGGCTGTGGAATTCTGGGAGTTGAAGTCCACATGCCTTAAAATTGTCAAGTTTGGGAAACAATGATCTAGAATGGCCACCCACATGTGCTACCAGCCTAAAGGAAATGTCTTATCACATAAAAATAACATTCATAGAGAGATTCACATTTGGGAACAATTCATGATTAAGCCAAGTAATACCATGGTTCTATACTTTATTTCTGGCAAGGGTTTCTGTTAGGGTTCCAGGATGTATAGACCCTTATGCTTTTCTGCATAAAAAGGCCACTTGTTCTCTTGTCTAGAATACAGAAACGCAACAAGCATGTATAGAAAACAGAACGGCTCACCATCAGAAGAAGGTGGTGTGGTTCCAAGTGGAGTAACGGGTGTAGTCGGAACTGGGCTTACCGGAATTGTTACTAAACCAATTTCAGGATGACTCTAGGCATTAAAACATATATCCAAATAAATTTACATTCAGTAACACCTGTACTACCTTAAGTATTCTTTAGTGCAATTTCACCCTATTCCTGATATTGCAGCTATCTTACCACACCTACAATCCTTGCTATAATCTGTCATTATTTTCATGCGTATTAAGAAATTACTGAGAAGCTTCTTAAAAGTTAAAAGTCTCTTAAAATTAATCTCCTTAGAAAAGTTGTTATGAAAGCAATATTTTCTTCCCTCTTCTTCCATTCCCTCTCTTAATATATTCCTGATTATTCAGCAAGTCAATGCATCATGTTGCTACCCTGCTGCTTAACCCAGGTGCTTCAGGAGAACACAAGGCTATACAAATATTATTACTGTTACCTGTTCTGCCTGCCTGCTTCTACTAGTTCTTTCTCCATTTCATCTCAGCCAGAAGCTCCCCATCTAATTGCTGATTTAACTATAGGGTTCCATTTGCAATGCTGTCATCCATAAAAACAGGCAAGACTTTAGATCAGCATAGCATTCTATTTTATGCTCAACTGTGAAATAATGAAGCCTGTTTTACACAGTACCTTTCATATCAACATATTTCCAAATGTTCTCTCAGCAGCAAGCAGATTTGAAGTGAATTTTGGAATTACCAATCTGTTTTTAATTGTACAACATTTCATGCAAGTTCACACAGGAGCCTGCTATGACAGAAATCTTGAAAGCTGGGTTTATTAATAGATTCTTCACTATCTTATAAGGATTGACTAACATTTTCTCAATTTTTGAAATTAACCTCTGAGGCCAATTTTGAAATAAAGTGTCCAATGAAAATACCGCACACAAATGACTCCATTTCCATAATGTAATGACTTGGGTTCTCGTATAGTCAGGTTTTATAACTCTTCTTCCAGCTAAGTATAACAGCACCGCCTAGCAGCAAGATGCTGGTATGGCAATTCTAAAATTTAAGCTTGTACTACTGCAGTAATTCCTATACTGTTCAATTGAAAAAACTTTAACCCACATGTATCTCCTCAGCATTGCTCTAAAACATACAGATCATACAAAATAAACTGAACAAAGCAACATACATAAATTATTATCTTCATCATAGCTACGGTCTCAACATAAAAAAAACATGAATGTAAACTACTCACATCTTTATGCTAGATTTATTATTTATGATACAGAGTTTCTTTTTAAAATGACAAGTACACCATGAAATATTTATTTGGAGCAACTTAAATACACTAGCAGCATGATTGAATTTTGATTTTATTCAGACTCATTTAAACCAGATTTGAACCAGTATTCACCACATATAAACATCAGTTAAAAGCACCCAAGAACAAAACCCAGAATGGCAGAGATAGAATTAAAAAAAAACTATTTTTGCAAGCTTCTACAAACTCTGCCTACATAAAAGGAAAATAGTGGACATTGATCCCTGCTAGAATTTTCAAAAAACTTTATGTGAAGGGAAAGATATTGTATAGTTTTGGATTCTAATCAGCTGAGAGATGTCTAGATGATCACAACTATGTATGATATTCTTGGCCCAATTTAGGGAGAATTTTATATGCTCTAGGTCTACTTATCTTCCCTTACCTTCACAAACAATCTGACCTGAAGAATTCAGAAGGGGGTGAAGCACCACTCTGTTCAACACTGGCTTGTTCTATAATATATTATAGCATACATGCTGGCCAAATGAATAAATAAATTCAAACCAAATTTCTATTTTGATTCAGTAATTGATCATGATATTTATTTGTTGAATTTAAATCCCATCTTTTGTACTGGAATTCAAAGCAATACAGTATGCTGAATGTGCCTTTTTCCTATTTATACCCACAACAGAACCCCATGAGACAGTTTCAGCTGAGACAAAGTGACTGGCCAAAGTCACTTCCTGACTTTCCATAGCTGAAGTGGGACTAGAACCTAAGTCCCACAGGGCCCCTCCAACAGTGCACTCTTTAGACTGCAATGATTGACCCACCCCATTTTGACCACTGGTTGACAGACTGTATAGGTACTTGATCAGTCTCCTGTCTTTTTTTTGGGGGGGGGGGAGAACAAACAGGAATGTATTAATATTCAATTAAAGGAACTTATGTTCCATCTTTCAAATCCAAGCATTAGCAAGTTACTGAGATCAAACAGAGCACTTAACAAAAGATGAGTTTAAATCTCTGTTAGAGCAAAGGTCTAAGCTATTTTTCAGTTTGGATTCTACAGATTCCCCAGACGTACAAAAGTGAATTGTACTACACCTGTGCCAATACAGTGATAAAGTTTCGATTCAAGTGAACAGCTTCATAAAGAGCCAAAAGGATAGCTTCGTTAGTTCTACAAAAAAGAGCAGAAGAGAAACACAGTTTCACAGTAATGAAATTTCTTGGAACACTTTGCCAGGTTACACTAATAGGAAGAGGTAATTTTGGACACTCAGACTAACAAAACAAAAGAACCCACAAATCAGAAACATGGATCATTTCAGAGTGTTTTCTCATATTTATTATAATGTTAATAGGTCATTTGTCATACAGCATAATAAACTGGTATTGTGTAAAAAATGTCTTTACACGGTGAATCAAAACATTTAAGAGATACAATAAAATAAAACTAGATAGCATTATGTACCTACCTAGATCAATTAAAATAACCCTGTACTTAAATAGGAATATGTTATGAAGTATGTTAATTTGTGATAAGAAAAAAGCAAATAATGCATTTTATATACAGTGGTCAGAACTATCGATGGAAATGACTGCAGAAAACTGTAACAATATGGAGGAAATCAGTGTGAAAATTCTGTCTTTCATGCTTACCAACAGTTCAAACATTTTTGGCTTTATAAACCAATCAACACTTTGAACTGAAATCAGAAACACACCAACAACTAGTGCATTTATACAGAATTAGTGAGATGTTCCATTCACTCTGTTTCCCCTATCATCTCAACTTACTATACAGATAGTCCTTGACTTATGACCACAATTGAGCCCAAAATTCATTACTAATTAAGGCAGTTGTTAAGTGAATTTTGTCCCATTTTGTGTCACAGTTGTTAAGTAAATCACTGCAATTGCTAAATTAGTAATTGTAGGAAGATCGCAAAAGGTGACCACGGGACACTGCAACTGTCATAAATATGAATCAGTTGTCAAGTGCCCGAATTTTGATCCCATGACCATGGGAATGCTGCAACAATTGAAAATGTTCAAAATGGTCATTAAGTCACTTTTTTCAGTGCTGTTGTAACTTTGAACAGTCCCTAAATAAATGACTGTATTTTGAGAACTACCGATATATCAAATTACTGGAAAATCTTCAGAGCCAGCAACCAAATAGAATGCATTACCACAGTCTAACCTCAATATTCCAGAAATGTTGATACAGGTAGTCCTCTACTTCCAACCATTGATTTAGTGACTGTTTGAAGTTAAAAATGCACTGAAAAAAGTGACTTCGGACACTTACAACCTTTGCACATCTCCCTTGTCATATGATCAAACTTTGGAGACTTGGCAACTGGCATGTATTCATGATGGTTCCAGTGTCCTGAGATCATGTGATCAATTTTTGTGATCTTCTGAAAAACAAAATCAATGGGGAAGCCAGATTCAATTAGCAACCATGTTACTAACTTAACAACTGCAGTGGTTCACTTAACAATTGTGGCAAGAAAGAACACAAAATGGGGCGAAACTCACTTAACAACTGTCTTGCTTAGCAATGGAAATTTTGAGCTCAGTTGTAGTCATAAGTCGAGGATTACCTGTATTTAGACGTGAAAATGAAATTGAAAGATTTTTCGTCCAAGAGGCAGATCAGGCCTTAACAGATCAGATTCAAATTCCAATGTACTTAGTTATATTTGGGGTGCTGGATTAGGGTAGCTGCCTCTTTTTTCATACACATTCAGCAACAACTGTACAGCACATTGATACATCTCTCCAAGCTGGAAATGTTGATGAAGAAGATGTTATCCATTCAGTCATGTCCAACTCTTGGTGATTCTAAGGGCCAGGTTTCTTCACATCTTTGTATCTTGCACTACTTCTTTGAGTTGTTCTATGCTCTGGCTGGTGGTGTCCAATCACCATGTTCTTGGGTGACCAGTTTTCCTTTTACCGCTAATTCTTCCAAAACAGAATTGCTTTCTCCAGTGAATTAACATGGCCAAAATAGGTGAAATACGGTTTTGTGATTAAGCTAAAAATAAGTGCATGTAATGAATTTAGGTAGCCTAAGGGAAAAAAGGATTCTGTTGTTGACTTACCAAAATTCATACATTTCTTCATAACAGGAATGGAAAAGACATCCAATTTTAACATAGTGAACTCAAAAGAACACTAACATTTATGTGTGCCTGTGACTAAAACAGAATGAGGAATAGATCTGATTCAAGAATTGACTCATTCCTCATATCCTTGGTGGTAAGGATAAGCTGGGAAGAGTGGTAAGCCTGCATCATCCAAACAATTTATATATACTCCGACTGCATAAGCTGGTAAGTATCTGATTAAAACACAGGATGGTGCTCTTACTGACTTTTCTAAACCATAACATCTGACATTTCAAATTCATTGGTTTTTATCTATAAAATTTAAGACTACCGCAACAAGATGTTCTAGGCTTTACAAGACTTTTAACATTTAATTATTTTAAATAGCTCCACCAGTCTACATTGCCAAGATGCAAGGGACAGTCAAGCAAGCCTTATTTGTCATTGCCACAGAATTATGTTGGTAAATCAGGTATTATCTGGCTTTTATCATCCTCACTGTGAGCTTTCATTAACCCTCATTTTTCATGATCTTCAGCTCAAAATATCAAGAAAATTATTTATTTCTATACAGGTAGTCCTCAGCTTATGACCACACTTGAGCCCAAAATTTATGTTGCTAAGTGAGAAACTGGTTGAGTTGTGACCCATTTTACGACTTTTCTTACCACATTTGTTAAGTGAATCATTGCAGTTGCTTTTTAGAAGGTCGCAAAAGGGGATCACATGACCCCAGGACACTGCAACTGTCATAAATGTGAGTTAGTTGTCAAGCATCCAAATGTAAATACGCATGATCATGAGGATGCTGCAACAGTCACAAGTGTGAAAAATGGTCATAAGTTACCTTTTTCCGTGCCGTTGTAACTTCAAACAGTCACTATTGTAAGTCTAGGACTACTTGTAGTATCCTGGACTTAGCTTCTGAGTTTTTTTAGATACGGAATATTATGGGCTGAATGGTGCTCCTGCTCCAAAATAATGCCACCTTAGTCTCATATGTATTGCAATTCGCTTAAACAAATTTAAAATGCAAATGCAGCATCTGATAGTTTGCCTATATTCCAGAACAGGGTGCCAAACTGGCGGCCCGCGGGCCCAATGTGTCATGCATAGACCACTCCCACCCGTTCCACAAAGGCAAAAAAGTCACGATACATCATGATACGTCACGTGATGTGATTGAGTTTGACACCCGTATTCTAAAAGGTACTTACACTATTATCTCCAGTACTGATTGCTAAGCTAGAAGATTTGGTGCCAGTTCTACTAAGCAATAGGTTATATTTTAGACTTCTAAATCAAAGAATTAAATTGGTTATCTGATGGATGTACTTACTGGACTGAGATTTTTTCATCAGCATCAGCAATGAACATATTGCCCACCTATGGAAAAAAGAAGTATTGCATAGCTTTAGGATATACTGAAGTCTTCCACTAACTTATCTGGTCCACAGGGCTAAAAGTAATAGAGAAGCCTTGTATTTTATATATAATTTAAGCCCATTATAACATCTACAGAAACATTCTACATTCTACATCTCCTGCAAATCTCTTAGACCAGGCTCCTTTGCATAACAAACACTGACTGACAACACAGAGTCATTGATTTCTTACCATGTTAGTCAAGGCTGAGAAAAATCCACTCTGATGTTCTTCTTCTTTGTCTCTGAACTGTCTGCACAAGAATAGCAGTGGGAGATAAAACAATAGAAGTTGCCAAGAGCTTCATTACAGAGCAAGAAAAATCTGTTCTTTTAATTAAGACATAAACATTTTTTTTTAAAATACAGGTCCTCCAAATGATGTCTGGATGTATTTTAAAGGAAAGAAATGACATCAGATGCCAATGGGAAATACAAAAACTTACCTTTCTAACAAACGTGATAATGAAAGATATCTAAGAAGATGATATATAAAAGCCTTTTGAATGAAATGTTCCATCCATTCAATGCTGCCTATTATACAAAATATTCTTTGTTTATTTCTATATTGATTTGTCTTCTTTTTCTCATGCAGAAACATAACCTTCTTCTATTTCTCAGCAGCACTGGTCCACAAGATGCTTCAACAGACAAATTTCAAGGATACAGTTGGGAACTTTCCATGTAACCTAGCTGCCTTATAACCCCTTGTCAGGTGTTTTAAAAAGTCTAAGCTAGCTTTCTTTACTCTTCTTTCTTGGGCACTCTTTTTCTCTCTCTACTGAGACACCAAACCAAATGGAGTTGCAATTTGCAAAAAGTGCATTTAAATTTCTGGGCAGCTCTCTTACACCACTGAATTATTGCTAACATAGTGATGAAAAGGCAGAGGATGTCACTGTACATTAACCTAAAGAAAGTCCTGTCATTTTCAAAAATGTAAGACTGGAAACCAACTAGTGTTTACAACATGGTCTTTCCTGCTGGAATACTTTCCTTCAAGCAATTCACACTATATCAGGTTATCTGAACATTAAATGAAGGGGACCAAGATTTAGTTGATCTATAGCAGCGGTTCTCAACTTGTGGGTCGGGACCCCATTTGGGGTCGAACGACCATTTCACGGGGGTCGCCAAACAACGCAGTCCGCCATTTTTTTCCCCTTTTCCTTAGCTGTGCTACTCCCTTTTATTCTATTGGCTTTTGAAAGCCAATAGAATAGACTCTCTTGAATAGAGTCTAATTCTATTGGCTTTCAAAAGCCAATAGGAATTGTCCAGGCTGTCTCTGCCCTGCTGAGCCTGCCAAAAGTCCCATTCTGCAAACGGTGCTGCACCAGTTGAGTAGTCCTCGACTTACGACCGGTTGAGTAGTCCTCGACTTACGACCGGTTGGGGGGGGGGGGCACAGCATTAAAAAGGTTGAGAACCACTGATCTATAGTATCAGTTTCTAATTTAAACTGCTTTCACCAAAATGGATTTTTTTTTACATATACTGGGAATCAAAACCTGCTAATAAATCTGTTCTGTGAAGCCTAGCCTACAGTATGTGTAAAAAGAAGGCCATAAATAAGAACGTCAAAAATCCATTTATTTCACAACTTTGCTCATACATATTGCCAGTAAGAATATGAATACATTTTCTCAGGAAGATATTCATTTAATCCACAAACATTTCTTAATGTTACTTACCGATTATATTCTGATAACGCCTGGGCAACTACAAGACCCATTCCCTGCAAGAAGAGAAAAAGAGAAAGATCCATATAAATTAAAGGAAGAGGTGCAACTCTCTGCTCCCAAAATTTTTTAGATCATGCACAGTAATACTTTAAACACTTGTTAGTGAACTAAAGGCTTTGTTTTATGCAGGATATAAAATGCCAGAAAAATGAGATAAACATTTTTAAATATTAGCAATTTTCCTACATGAGCCAAAATAATTTAACCACAGGCTTGCATCTTTTTTAAAAAAAATCATGGTCAAAACCCAGAAAGAGTTAGGGATAATAGAAATAAGCACAATATAATATGTAGCATGCATATGTACTGCAATATTATTCAGCTGTGATATGGAAGCTAAACCACCTTTGCGCACTCTTTTTAATTCACTTTTCATTTCTCATTTTATTCCTAACATTCTATCACACAAAATTTACAACATCATACTCACATTCAGTGTAGCTTCATCATCTATAATAGATAGTTTTACTATATAAGGATTCACAGACTGCAAGAAGGAAAAGAAAGTCATGGGCTAATTTAATTATCAGCAAAGTCAACACAACCTCATTCAAACTTTGCTCATTTTTTAATCATAGTAAATTCATACAATTTCTATTAGAACAGTAGTATTTTTAGTTTTCTGCATATAACTCAAGAGTTCACCCTTGGCATGAAAGTATTTTCTGAAAGAAGAATTATTTCTATCACATGCATGTTTTGTAGTCACTGGATGTTAAGACAACAGGCTGAGGTCAGAGACAGAAAAGATGCTTGGCATGCAAAAGGTTTCAATCTTGATCCCTGCCAGAATTCTCTTAAATAATAAAGCCAATAAACACCAGCACACTAAATTGACTGTTAGTTTTTTTAATATAGGCTTCTGAGACAAAAAATAATAACAAGGAACGTCCATCAACTTTGATGTTGCCACTTTATGGTCAATAAAGTCAAATAGTTATAAAGAAGATCCTTGGTGGTAACAGCAAAGCTCTCAGTCTGACAAGAAACTGAAATTCTATACTAGTTTGGGCAATTTCTATAAATCAGAATAATTTTGTAGCAAAAACTACAAGGACCAGCTGGATCCATAATGAACACTAGAACAGCTGTTTCATTAAATATGGAATATGTCTAAAAACTTTATAGAAAATAAAGCACTAACATTATAAAAGATAAATTATATTCAATGAAATTACTTTTTTTAACCTAATGGAACAACTTAACCACCTTCAAGATTCTGGAGAAAACAAGTATGATTAGCAACAGTAGCAACAAAATTAAAAGGATCAAAGAAAGCAAATAAAACTACATACACAAAAAACACAGACAGACATATTTACATATATGAGCAGCAAGAGAAGTTTTTATTGTTGCGGACAGGATGCACATAACACCAACAGAATTCTTTTAATTCATTTTAAGAAGGTTTCCCATGCCTGATTAGAAGAAAGAAATATCTATTTTTTAAAAAAATATCTTTATCTAGCATTATATATACTATAAGAAAATTCTTTCAGCTTCAAAGCAAAGCAATAATAAATACTTAGGAAAAAGTAAACCTTTCAAAAGATTTTTTTCTATCAGATAAGAGTAATTAAAGATGCCAAATTTGCCAGTAGTACAATAATATTTTTATGCTTATTTCCCATTTATGTATTTTGTGCTGACTAGAGATAGCATTATTATCCCAAAGGAACTATATAAATGAAAAAAGTTTGATAGACTTTGCTTCTCCAGTCAGAAAATTATAGATTTCAGCAACTTTTAGAAAACAATAAACTCATGCCCTAGAAATTCATCAAAAGCTAAAAATTATCAAAACATTATGTGTACCTGCAAACTAGAGAGAAGGGGGAAAAAAGAATAGTTTAAGAATAGCAGAATCTCAAATAAACCTTTCCTTGTTTCCAAATTAATATTTGTTTCTACAGGAAAAAGAAACTTCTATCTACTTAATAAAATAATTATTTTATAAGAAAGTTTCATATGTTCATATTTAATCCCATGCTGCTCACTTTCAAAATTCAAGATGGTTTGCTAAAAATGTATACAATAACCTCATATGAACAAACAACAGCCAAACCAAGTCACATAAATCAAAATCAATGAAAGTCATCTTAGCATCCCGTCATCAAATGCCAGCTGAAAAAGGAGTCCTTGCTGCTAATAGGTTGGGGGCTTTAACTTGTTGTTGCTTTTGGAGTATGTTGTTCCACAGAGTGGTGGGCTTCCCTCAGGACCCTATCTTTCTAATTTCCCCATCTGCTCTCAGTCAAACACATATTTCAGAGAAAGATTACTTTGTACAGAGACTCAGCAATGTAGAATTTTCTAGATTAAAACCATCACTTTGTGCTGGGCTTGGAAACAAATATGGAAATCAGAGCATTAGAGTTATACTGCCACACCCATTTGTTTCATTGGCATACTGGCCATTGCATTTTGAACCAACTACAGTTTGAGTGTTATTTTCAGAGGCTTCCCCACGCAATGTATGTTGTGACAGCATAAAATATTTTTGAAACATATAGAAAATATAGTAGAAGCATAGCTGTTATTTTTAACATGATACGACGTTAATCACTTTGTTATTAAACACCAGGATATAGATCCTCATTTCTCCTTGGGAGTATATTTTATTACCATCAATTGAATGAAGCAATCTACACCTTGTTTGCCAACTTTTAATCTACAGAAAGGAGCAGATTCATTTCCCATTGTAATTTGTATGATTGTTCATATTTGTGAAACATAACACAATAATGGGAATGATCCTTCCCTCCGGTTATGTTTTTTCTGAACAATGTTGTGACTGTAGTTCTGAAACACACCCAAAGCGAGCAAATAGGCATTCCAGCAAGGAAAGAGACCACTCTGCAGTAGCAACATATTTCCAAGAAACAAGGAAATGTAATGATGCCCAGTCCAGTGTCAGCTCCAACCTGGAAAAAAGAGCTTGGACTATTTTTCACACTAAGCGTCAAAGAAATTTAGTATGCCTCTAATAGGCAAAACTATTGCTGGAACAAGATGTAGAAATAGTCCTCACATGAACATTTACCACCAAGGAACAGTGTGCTACTAAGATCAAGAGGCTTTTCCATTGAGGGAAAGATGGAATATTTGTCCTGTTTTTTTATTTTACAGCTTCACCAGATTAATACCTCACATTCTGTGTCAAGCACTCACCTCATACTTTCTATAGTTCACTAATAATGCAAGCAGGACCACGGCCTCATAACCGTGTTCCCTGCGACTGGGAAGATTAGAAAGGATCTAAAAATAACAGAAGACAAAGCTTCGATTAATCAAAACAATGTATTTCAAGGAGTCATAGATGGGAGATTTCAAAAATATGTAGCGTGATGAGCTGAAAATTTCCTGCATCCAAAATGAATTTTGTAAACTTAGCATAGAGTGAAATTATCTTCTTTCATGTAGAAATCACAAACTGAAATGAAATTCTTGCATGAAAAATAATGAGCATTTTTGAGGAAATAAAAAAAAATGGGTGTAGTCCTAGATGTCCCATCCAATTCTAGAAAATTAGATTCAATATCCTATGTGATTCCTCTTGCATAAAGTTACTAAATTATCTGGATGAAGAACTCTTAAAACCTACCAACATGAAAATTGCTTTTATCACATTGCTTTCAATTATCCCACATTTGCATTTAAGCAACATGAAGGTAAAATCTATCTATGATTACAGCAAGTGTGTTGGCAACCATTTCAGTTCTAAGGTTTACGTCTGCTGCCAGATTAGGGTCAATGGAAACACAGCCACATAGTCACATGTATTATAGGGGTACTGCAAAAGAGAAGCTTTGTCCTTCTCACTCCTAAGAATCCTATTCTAGTTTCCTACTATGCCTATCCAGATGAAGGCAGAACAAAGCAGCCAAAAATGCATGTAGTCCCTGGGTTACTCACAATGTATACAAATGCTTCATCAAAGATTAGCATCCAGAGATAGAGGGGAATAAGGAGATTTACCTGTAAGATAGCTTCAAAAATGCTATTAATCATCACATATTCCAGAATTGTGTTCTGACTGATATTATCTGTCACCTGAATAGAATCAAAGAAATCGGAATTTTTAGAGTTTTCCAGTTCCAAAATAACTCACACATGCTCTTATCACTTGCTAGCAATGAATCTGCGTTTGTTATAATCCAACAGTTTGAAAAAAAAAAAAAAGTCTCTCAATTTTATCTTTTATTGAACTCTCCTGAAAAGAGTTCTTTAAATTATGTGTTTCATACATATATATTGTTATCCCAAAATTATGGATTTGGGTACATTAAGCACCATATAGATAAACATGTTGTTAATGGAAGACTTACTTTGCTTTCATGGTACAATTTTCCTTAATGATTTGTTTCAGGCTTTAGTCTTATGCATGTTTTCTAAACAGCAAACTCTAAAACATTTTTTGGGTAATAGTAAGATCAATACTTAATATTGGAAATAAAACCAGCAGAGTTTTTAACCTCTGTTTAACTATTGAACAATGAGTAAAGGAAATGCTAAAGGTTATTAAATTGAGCTGAAACCACATTAATGCTGTCCAATACCGAAGCTGAAGTTTCAAATTTCCATTAGTTTTAGTCGCTTTAGTTATCACCCACTTCTTTTTCTTTATGATTTCCACTTTCTTTTTTTCTGTTTGGTTTGGATGACCAAAATTGGGTGTTTAGTTCAAATTGTATGCATTCATTTAAAAACATTAAAACAGGGCCTATATATGGAAGCATCTTCATAACTGAAGCAAAAAAAGGGACCTTCTCATTAATATATCTAATTCCACAGTTAGATTAAAAAAAACACCTTGATATAGAAGGCTGTAATATATCAGAGTCACCAAGAGGATGCAAGTTAAATATATTATTTAATTTATTTCTAAAATAGGTTACACTGGTTACAACAATGGTTGTATGGTATCTCAATGGTTTATAATAGTTTAAAGCAGGCACGTCAAACTGCCGGCCCATGATGCATCATGCCAAAACCGTGCCCACCCCATTGCCGGCAATGGGGGGAAAGTCACGATACATCGCGTGACGTCACGATACGCCGAGCAACGTCACATGATGTCGCGAGTTTGACATGCCTTGTTTAAAGGTACATTTTCCATATTTTCATAATAAATACTTTTCTATAGTTAATCCATCATTATATATTACTTACAGTCACCAAACAAAGCAAAAGCTTCAGGCACAAACTTTTGAGACTTTCAGAGCCTTCTGCACAAAGTAAAGCATCCAAACTCTCCATCAGATTCTGGAAAAGAGAAAAGTTATTATAAATTGTTGCAATCTCAAGTTGCTTTTAATCTTCACTACTGCTGTAAATATCTAAGTCAAGCTAATTAATGTTCTTATTTCATTATTTATTTTTGTGTTTAAAAAACTGAGCTATGTGTTAATCATGATATAACATTAAAGACACTACTTATTATCATGCTGTAATTTTCTGTTATTTCCTAGATAAATAGACCAAATACATTTTGTCAGTTTCTAGACTAGGAGCTATCAGGAAGCTAGGAAGAGAAAGGAGAAGCATGTTATTCTATCCACAGGCTACTCTGCAACTGAACACATGTCTATTTTTGAACTTTAATGGCACAACACAACTTAAGTTAGGGATGAGGAAAATCTAGCCTGCAAATCACATAAAGCCAAATTTCTTCTCCAAATGGGACTGCTTTTCTCTCTCTTGGGGCTGAGAAACTTTCATCCCTGAGGACTGGGGATAAAAAAAAAACTTCTGAGCTCTGGGTGACAGGAAAAGGAACTCTTTTCTCTTTGTGCAGGAGCATACAAGAAACACTGCCTCTCTTCCATCCCACTCCTGTTTCTTCAGTAGGAGAAATGCAGCACTGAAGAGTGGAGGAAGAACAGCGTCAGGCCACAGTGGCCTTTTCAAGATGAGTGGGGTTCTCCTTCCCCAAAATCCATGTCTCCCTGACATCCTCTGACTAATTCAGAAATCAACATAACATGTATGTTATTAGAATGAAAACAAAATCCGTTATTTCAATATAGCAAGCTCTTACCTTCATGCACAATTCAGCCTTGTCAAAGCCCATTAGCATATTGATGATGTCAAAACCAGATGTGGATTTGTTCTTCTGATGAACCCCACGGATCAGCGCACATAGGGTCTGAAGCAGAAAACACAAAGTCACATATGCAGGAATTGTGAGATAAAACCTCCTGGGCAATGAAAACTGCCATCACAGAGGCAGAAATTTAAATTTATGGTATTTTGGTTTTTAAAAGTATGATACCCCAGATCACTTAGAGTGAATTTCAATACCGTAAATCCAATAGGATGTGAGCAGAAATTTGTTTGTACTTTCTCTTTTCCACCACCAAGCAAACAAACAAACAAACAAAAACAGACCTCTAAAGGCAGATAGGAAATATCTCGCTAAGGGAAACAGTGACACCAGAAGAAGAATTTCACTGGCTTCCCCTATAGTTTCTGTCTGATATTCTATCAAAGTTTACAACATGTAAAGCTCTCCTGAATCATCTAACAATAAAAAAGGAAAATATATCATTGCCTAAGATATTAAAGTAATTAAGAAGGGATATCTGATTCAGCATATTGAACCAACAGATATTTTAGTGGTCTCAATAATGCAGACTAATTCCTTCATTAGCGCTAACATAACTGATTATGAGTTGTCAGTTTATAGGTTTTGCTTAACGAAAGCCAAGGGAAATTCATAGCACCTGCAATGCATTGACCACTCTGATTGGGTGCTCTTCTCCTAAAGCCCAAATGCAACGCTGGAACAAGCAATTAATGTTATCTTTTATCTTCATTAGCTCTTCACCATCCAGAGATTCCAGCTTTCCTTCCAGATATTCCAAATTCACCTGACAGACAAGAGGTAGAGCTTAAGCTGATGGTGGAATTACTGAGGGCAAGAAAAACTAGAAATTGATATTTGTAAGAATAAACATAAAGAAACCGTTTCAATCTTTAGTGTATTACCTTCATGAGGAAGAGCTCCTCCCAAAACCGAGGGTTGTATTTACTAGGATCTTCTGTCTGAAAGGGAATGGGATCACTATTACAGTGTCGACTATAAACTGAAGATAACAAGTTTAGTTTTACATTATATTGTTAACAGTCTGTCCATGAAAGTAAAAACATGCCAAGAGATGTTTCATTAAGGAGTATTAGTCTTCCTTCTCATTCATACTGCAAGAGGCTATAATACTACAGAACTCTGTTATGATGAAAGGAAAATAAATCCAATGCTTACTGTGAAGATCTCGTCATACATTAGCACAACCTTCTCTTTCAGGGGTTTCTTACTAGATGAAGATTTCCGAAGTAATCCACCTTTTTTCTCAGATTGCGCCATGGCTTACAACCTGTGGATTAAAAGAAATGGTAGACATCAAAGAAATTGATCCTAAGAAAATTTCCACAACACATCTTTCTAAATTTCTAGTAATTGTTTTCACAATTTCTCAGAAGCAACCCATACTGTGAGGGATCTTCGGTGCTCTCTGAGCTTGGTTGTTTTCCTGCAGACGTTCCATTACTCAAACTAGGTAACATCAGCAGTGCTAGTGTTAGCTAATGATAGTTACTGAATATAGCTAGCATCGCTAGCACTGATGATGTTACCTAGTTTAGGTAATGAAACGTCTGCAAGAAAACAGCCAAGCTCAGAAAGCCCCAAGGACCCTCATTTCAACTCTGAGCTACAAATATTCTCCTTTTATCAAAATCCATACTAAACTTACTATATAATACAGTAACGACTATCGTGACAATCAGTTTGGTGTAGTGGTTAAGGCATCAAGCTCGACACTGGGAAGTCATATGAGTTCTAGTTCCGCCTTAAACACAAAGCCACCTGGGTGACCCTGAGCCAGTCACTTTTTCTCAGGAAGGAGGCAGCCACAAACCACTTCTGAAAAAACTTTCCAAGAAAATGGCAGAGACTTGTCCAGGCAGTCTCCAAGAAATGGACATGATTAAACAGAAGGAAAAAAGAAAATACAATAGATCTTAGCCTATTTCAGACATACGTTTCCTACTGTGCAAGGTGCACAGAAAAAAAGCTTACTAAAATACATACATATATTTTAAATACCCCAAAGGGTAGACATTACTTAATGTTTATACTTGTTATATGTTTTTATATGGTGTAGGAGTTATTTCACTTGTAACGAAGAATCACTAGAGAAGTGTGTGCATTTTTCCCCCAGCAAACCAGTTTGTGTGAAGCATTTGCACGACTAAAAGAAAATCGAATGTAGGCTCAACCACCCATCCACGTAGCTCAGAGAACAACTGTAGTTCATTTAAGTATACATTCACAAATGAAATTGTGAAATATACATAAGAACCATCACATTGTACTGGTCTGTAAATAAGGCTGGGTCCTAATGGGTTATTTTAATTTTATCTCATTTTGTTTAACCAGGTTTATATGCTGCTCAAATCAATACCACCGGTAAGGAGCCATCATGCTTAAAGAAAGTTAAAACAACAGAGTAACAATTGCAATTATAACTTTGTGACATACCAAGGAGCAATAAAATGCTATTAAACGGACACCTCATTGGAAAAAGGAAGAGCCTCATAACAGCCTCATCTGTCCCTAAGAAAAAGCTTAACATCTTTCCCAAATCACAGTAGGTACAGGTCATTTGGATGGCAGGTGACCTTCTGTTTAAAAACAAAGAGAGAGTGGTTGAAGGTCTCTGATGATAAATCTTTGAGAAAGGGGACCTTAGGGAGCCCACCCTTCCTAAGCTTAGTAGATGGGCAGACATAACTAGAAGAGGGCAGTCCCAAAGGTACCTAGGTCCTGTAGGACTTCAAAGGTGACATAGAAATAGCACTTAGACTTATATACACTTCATGGTGTTTTACAGCCCTCTCTAAGGGGGTTACAGAGCCAGCATATTGCCCCCAACAATCTGGTCCTCATTTTACTGACCTCAGAAGGATGGAAGGCTGAGTCAACCTTGAGCCCTATAAGGATCGAACTCCTGGAGTGAGCAGTGAGTTAGCCTACAGTACTGCATTCTAACCACTGCTCCACCATGACTAAATAAAACATAAGTTATTTAATTTCACAGAATCTAGTTAGTAACCCATGCAGCTCTGGAAGTGATTTTATGGATAAACTGAGGCATAACCATAACTACTCAGATTGCTACATTCTGGCCTACTTATATGTCCAACCTACAGAGAAAATTAATTTAATTCATATTTGGGTAGATGGAACTCTTCCTTCCATATCAGTTATCCAATTTCTAAGATTTAATAGAAGGCTCTTTCTATGACTTTTCTGTGGTAGTGACCTAATAGGATAGAATAAGAAGAAAGTCTATTCTAATTGATCATAACCAAACTGTAGAACTGTCTACCCAATGAAATTCAGGTAGTCTCTCTTTTGCCATCATGTGCTAATCAATAAAGAATTTTTAAACATTTCATTTACTTGATAAAATATTTTTCACCATAAAAACTATTTCATATATTGTTTCATCATTATGAATTTATGGTTGTAAATATTCTATAGGATTCCTAGTAATGCACATGCATTTGAAAGGTTGTTCTATAATTTATATAAATAAAACTTTGCATTGTATCTTTATTTCAATTCCAGTACATACAAATATTGTACGTAAACCAGCACATAGATATATCTTGGATAGTATAAAGTGCATGCTTACATAGAGCAATTTTATCCACTTTTCCAGGTATACAGATTGTGATAAACTACAGTTAACATGTAACATGTAAAGCTTGATTCAGAACTACTCAAGTGTTTCTAGTGAAAAGATTAAATGTGTTTTAGTGCATAAAAAAAATAAAGCAAGTGACTCAATATGCCCCAATTCACTGAATACTAAAACTGAACCCCTTTCCTTGGATTTTCTATAATATCTCCCACCCAATCACCTGTATTTATGTAGTAATAAAGCAGAAGGGAAAGTGATATTTCCAGATACAATATATAATATATTGAACAGCCCCCAGATATTGCAAAGTATGTTACAGTGCCTATAAACTTTAACAATTAATTCTGCAACTAAAGATACAACAGTTACTTTTAAAAAAGAATAAATAACACAACTATCATATCTAGTAGAATTCTCAGTGTTAACATCCATTTTAGACTATCGCACAGAGATTTATTTTCTGCAAAACTCAGAAACAAGATATGCAATAAAGAGCTATTATGTCATTACATTGTCTGTTTTATGAGAAATACAATATCATCAATCAGAAAAATAAAAGGGAAGAAAAAAGTTTTAACAGGGTAAAATAGCAATAACAATAGCACTTATACACCACTTCACAGAGCTTTACAGCCCTCTCTAAGCGGTTTAGATTATTGGGTACAATATTTTACCAACCCTGGAAGGAGGGAAGGCTTAATCAACCTTGAGCCAGTCAGGATCGAACTGCCAAACTGCTGGCAGTCAGCAATCAGCAGAATTAGACCGCAATACTGCATTCTAACCACTGCGTCACCACGACTCTTCAAAAGATCTTGAAATTGGGCATAAGGTAAAATCTATACAGGCTCTCCCCTTCACTATCAGAATCAAGTTTTTTGAGCAGCAACAGCAACAACACAAAATTGGGTACATCCACGCAGGATATTCTGACTGGATTATTTATATCATAGATGATAAAATACAGTAATATACTTCTGGCATGGGGGTGCCATCTTCTTTGAGTGAGGTTTGTCATGCCCCTCCTGGGAACCTTCCCAAGTTTTCTCTCCATTCAGTTTTCCAAAACTGATGCCTTCCAAACGTTTTGGACTGAAATACCCACAAGAAATAGCAAATCTTACCCTGGTTTCGGATCGTGGACACCAGAATTAAGAAACTGTTTTTGTTAGGGCTAATGCAAGAAAAATTTCAGATCTGACTTTAGGCTATAATCTAACTATTCTAAAAATCACATTTGTCCCATTAACACTACTGAAGCAAAGGTGAAATAATTCCATCAGGTATTAATGGAAATGCTAATGCTGGCATATTAAGTGAAAAGGAAGAATCTGTCTAGACACTGGATTTTCGTTAGCATTAGGTAGGCACAACTGGACTGACAATCTTATCCTTATTTTTCCTGCCCCCTCCCCTACCACAGTAGCTTTAATCTTAACTTCAAAATCAGAGGCAATGCTCCAGCATATAGAAGGTGTCACTTTTAGATATTATGAAGAGGTCTCCCAAACACAGTTTATTGTACCATACTGAAGAGGATCAACAATTTTCTAACTAAGATGGCGAAGGGGCTAAACAACATCACCATGTACGGAAGAACAGAGAATTCTATCTGCACTTTCATGGTCTGGATATATTATTTTACAATCATACTTACAATCTCATCCAATGGTAGGAACTCATACTATGCTAAATTAAACTGTAAATGAATAAAATTAAGTCCATTATTATCTGTATCACCAAAATAGTCCCAGTATCCCTAAATAAAGCCAAATGTGTCCTCATATGTAGAAGTATAGGTAGTCCTCAACTTACCGCCATAATGGATTTATCCAAATTGTGATGGCCATTAAGCAAGGAGCCCATATAATCACATTAACGACCCCCATTCCTGCCCTCCCTGATGCAGTCATTAAGCCACTGTGTGGCTCATTAAACAGAGCACGGGATGCTTCAGGGGTGAGAAAGGCACTGGGAGACCTAATGTGGGCCCAGCCCCACACTGCAGCACTCATGAGCTCACACATGGCCTACGCCAGACCTCCCAAAGTCTCCCCCACTCCGAGGCATTCCATGCTCCACTTCCTGCCCCTCAAGGTCCCTAAAGACCTTGGGTCTGTTTTCCCACTCCACTGGGTCCCACATGCTCCTCTTCACCCCCCCCATCCTTGATTAGTCACTTGCCTTTTATTCTAGATCTCCTTCTGGAAGCAGCTGCTATACTGTGGAGGCTCCATGATTCTGCCCCAGAAGAAGTCACCAAGTTGCAAGCAGACACAATAAATTGCGGCTGCTCCAAAATGGCACCCATTTCCAGGATGGGAGTTATATGGCCTGCAGGGAGGTCAAGGGACGTCTTTCTCAATACAATCTCCAGAGACCCAGCAGAGCAGGAGGGGGGGAAAGATTGGCAAGGGAGGCGCTACAGCATACCTTCAGTTGGTTGCAAGAGCAGGCAGATTGCCAAGCACTTGAATTTTGTTCATGCAATTGTGGGGACACTTCAAAACCTGCCCATAAATAGTTATTTGTGGGGAGGGACTTCTGTCATAACTTCGAACAGTCACTAAGCAACTGGTCATATGTGAAGGACTGCCTTTATAACTAATTAGAAGAAACTAAAAAACAATTAATATGAGCACTATCTCAAAATAAATCATAAAGCCACTCCCCAGTAATAAAAGGGAGCAAAGAACATTTATATTCCATCTTGAAATCTACAAGAATGAGTATATCCACAGAAATAGAATATCAATTTATTTTCTTCTGAGAGAAGTTATTACTGTATTAAGTAACCGTCCATCATCCCACTCTAAAAACATCTCGTCTGGTATGGTTTTTGAACAATGTAAGTTCCAGCTGTAATCTTCACTAAAATAAATCTTTGTTTCTTTGATTATCATAGGTCATGATAAAAGCTTATGACACCATGACTCTCTATGAAGCATGTTATATAAACAGGAAATAAAAGGAGCAATCACATATAAAAGTGCTGCTTTCTTGCAATTCAGTTTGCCTTAAGGTTTGAGTTGAAAAACTCAACTCTTAAATTATCAATATTTAAAACTTAACTATCCACCATTCTATTGCTTCAGTAGCTCATAGTCTCAGATTTCTCCATCTGGAATTCCAACAGCCTGTTCTTATTAGTTCTTCAAAACAGAAAAATAGAAGTGTATGAGTGTATATCTATGTGTATATAGAAGTCTAGTGAAGAGTTAATGGAAAAAACTAGCATGATTAAGCAAAACTATGTCTGAAGAATGGTAGACATTGATAGCAACCCAAGAGTGACTCATATCTGGCACATCAGTCACATATATGCAAACAAATCTTATTTATGATATTTACAAGTATTACATAAATGGCTGCTATTCCTCAGTTCTTCAGAATGGCTTCTAAAAAAAATTCAGGAAGCATCTAGTCTAGGCATTTTACATTACCAATCCTGCAGTAAAATTGTTTTGTGTGTTTAGAATATTCTATTGACTGATTTCCATTAAAGTATAGGACTTTATGTCACACGAAGCCCTGGTTTGCCTAACCACATTTTTTAAAAAAAAAATAGCTAAAAAGACAGTCACTGTTTATAAGCCATGTGGCTGATTGTATGCAATATACTAAATTAATAGTTTAAAACATGGTATATGAACCAGACCCCCATCAAAACAGAAAATCAAATTTCAAGCAAGTTTACAATCAATGTAAGGTGATTCAGTGAACAATGTCATTTTCAAATGCAATATAACTGCATTTAAATCTCTATTTATTACGAATACTGGCTGATCTTACCCTCTTATTTGCAACTTTCAAAAGGAAATATTAATGGTTATGTTCATTTAACACACTTCTCCTTAGTTAGCTGAACCATGTTTTTAGCCAACCAGATTTCATGGATTTGTATGAACCATAAATCAGCCAGTCTGGCTAGATTTGCTAGGTTGAAATATGGACTAGTCCATACCCTCTTAAAAAAATAAGAATTACGGAATGCAGTGATTAGGAATCACAAACATTAAATGTTTTATTTTGATAACTGTTTTTTTTTTCTGAAGAACAAGTAAAAAGCCTTTGACTCCTCATTAAGTGACTTGTACTGTACACTCCATTCCAAATTATATTAGGAGAGAAAAAAATCTGCATTATGTTTAAAGATGTAAGAATAGAAAGAAGTAAGATTATTCAGAGTTCTGCGAATATAAGAACCATGTGAATAGAAAACTATTTGGACAATAGTTTGCATTCCTCCAAATTTACATTACTTAAAAAGATATTTCATCTTTTATAACAGGATGAGCAGTTTTTATACATATTTTATTTTGAGGAGAACCTTGCACTCTATCAACAGCAGCACTGTAGGAAAGGCATGGGCTTAGAATAATGGGAGTTCAGGTCCAAGCATTTATTTTATTACTGAACTTAGCAGAGTCCTTTTAGATTCTCAGTTATATCCAGTAAACCTTCATTGCAAGCGAAATTCAGAGGGGGAAGAATTATTTTGCTGCTGTTATTCTGAAATAATTAGGAATGTGATTAACTGACTGCCAGTTACCCAGGGATCCGTCAATAAATCCACCTTTACCCTATACAGCAAAGGGGGCAGAAAACTGAAAGCCCTCAAAGGGGAAGGTATATGAAGTATCCGGATGTCCATGCATATGCTTGGATTTCAACTCCCATAATTTCTGATCAGTTATCATCCCGTCTAATGCTCATGGGTTCAAGACAGTTGGGAAGAAACATATGACAGTGTTTGGAACACAAGATTAAATGGTGCCTCATCAATGGCACCAAAATATTCCACCTATAAGACAATCAGGTTTTCCTCTTTCCGTCCCAGAAAAGTTTCTTAACGATTAAGTATACAGAAATTGAGAAAGAAAAATAGGCTGTCTTCTTCGCGAACATGGCCTAAGCACCCACATTTTCCTGAAATAATTCCGAGGGGCACCCCGATGCTTCCCCCCTCTCCACCACCCTCATTACACCATGCGCCCTGATCCTTATCGATCCCATCAGCGCCTCTAAGCTAGACCAGCTTTTCCCTTCTCCACCCCCCGACTCTCATCAGCAAGGGCGGCCGGAGCACCGATCAGGGGCACAAGGAAGGCCGGATTTTGAGGGGTGGGAAAGGAACATATCCGTTACCTGCGCGGGGCGATGCCTGCCAAAGCGCATGCGTCGACGAGAGAACCTTCGCTCCACCTTCTTCAGATCACGCAGGCGCATAATTCTTGATCGGCTCTGTTCAGCGTATTATCGCCTTGCGAATTCCCTTTCCTGCGAGTTTCTAATGAGAGCGGGCTGCGGAGAGTAGGCTAACGTTTTGAAGATACGTTATGGGGTTGTAAATGAAAATGAGTAATTAGTCTGTAGTATCATTAACCTTTTGGATTGCATAGATGGTGCACACTTTTTCCTTGGCATTGAAATAGTCTCAGTGCAGTGGTATTTATTCCAGAGAAAACAAAAAAAGATCGATTCAGCAGGACTTCACTGTAGGAATTTTAAGATTTAATTAGCTGTTCCTTTATCCTCTAAGAAACAAATTGGCCTGATTTCATGGATCTCATTACTGAATAATAGTGGTAAAGAGCTCATTTTCAGTGGTAGGTTTACAAAATGCATAATTCTTAACATGGTCAAATTCATTAAGACACCAAAGCTGCCAAGCAGTATGTAATCAACAAACATTTTTTGAGTGGCACAAACTGATAGCATGCGGTTTCCTGCTTGATGTAAATCCTGATTTACAGGAATGCCCCAATTCATCTCTTAAAGCTCTGTTCTGAATTCCCCAGAGTTATTGGTAAAGCTAGAGGAGAGGGAAACTCCAAGTTAAGTCAAATACTTTATTATGATGTTGAAAGAAAAATCTTCATCAGGGTCCAGTTCAAGCTGGGAATAAACAAAATGGAGACTGCTTTAGGAAAGAAGGTTGGAGTTTATTGAAGAGCAAAGCCAGAGAGAAGCATGGCTCTGGGAAAGCTGACCATATGTTGCTGGGAGTGGTGGGTTTTTATACCTTATTGGGCTTTTGAGGTTGTTTCCTGTTCCTGTTTGAGGCTTTGTATTTCCTGTGTCATGTACTTTGACCTAAGTCTGAATGTGCCCTTTTGGTATTGGTGGGTTAATTCTATTATATCCCCAAAGGTCATGTCTTTTAGAGTTTGGGTTGGGATATGTAGATTTTAGAGGTCTTTGTCTTCCTAATCTCATAGCTTCTAGTTTCCTGGCCCCAACCTTCCTAAATGGATTATTGAATTTGCATTTCTAAAAGCTGGCCTCTGCCTAGTTTCTGCTTGGGGCTATTAAAAAAACTGGGCTTGCTTTTCTGCCTTTAAGATCTTCTCCATTATTCCTTTGGATCAGGGGTGTCAAACTGCTGGCCCACGGGCCAAATGCATCATGCCAAAAATGCACCCACCCCATTGCCGGCAAGGGGAAAAGTCACGATACATCGTGACACATCGCGTGACGTCACGAGTTTGACACCTGTGCTTTGGATAAATACATTTTGCCTTTTTAATATTTCCTAAAATATTTCTTTCTCTGGATTCTTCCCACAATGACTAATCAAAAATGTTAGAGGAGAGTGAAGTTTTCAGTTTCCTCAGAACTCTCCTTCAGGCCAGTGATTGCAAATGCATCAAATGGAAAGAAATAGGAGAATCCAAAAGTTGAGCCACATATTTCAGCCATGGTCTATTGGTCAGAGTCACCCCGAAATAGATTGTGGCCTGAATGCATTCTTCATTGCTGGGTGTGGATATTTTTCTGCCGTAAGCCCACTAGTATCCATGGGTCAAAGTGCTTACGTATTTTGTTTGCAATTCCATATACACTTCAAAATATGGGAATATTATATTACTGCTATAATCTCTGAAAGCCAATTTTATAATGGCTTATAATGTCACCCACAACTCACTGGGTCATCAGAAAACATTGTCAACCTAAAGCTGATTGCAGGGATTGAAAATTCAGTTTCAATGGATTTTTATTTGCAATTAAATATTATTTCCAACATAGGATTAAAACATATAAAGATTATAAAACAGATATACCCAATTCTGCTGAACTTAAATTTTTTAAAAGTGAGGAAGTAGGGAAAAGTTCTTATTTTCCATTTATTTGACAGGAAAAATGGTGGTATGGATGCCAATGACCAGAAGGGATTTGACCACAACTTTGAGTAGACCTATATCCATGACAATATGCTAAAGCAGATCTCCTAATGATCTAATTGTCTTGAAAAGAGGTTACAATGAAGCACATATGTTGCAATTGTTATGAGGAAAAATTGTTAATCTTGAATGCAATTAAAGCAGCAATGCTATGCATACTTTTGGAGAAAAATGTCATTAACCAGCATTTTAAGATGCAGGTAGAAAACAAGATTTTGTCAACAGATTCCAAAACTTGCACATAATCCAAATCTTCCTTCTTAGTAATTAGTTTCTTTATCAGGGATGGGCAGAAGGTATTACCGGTACTAGTTTTCTGAGTGATTCCTTTTTGTCTAAATATTTTTCTTGATTTAACAATAAAGTTCCATTCAACCTTAGCACTAACAGCAAAATATAAGCTGAACTCTTTGCGGCTAAGCGTGCGCAGTTGGTGCTTCCCCGCCCACCGACGCATCGTCCCTTTAACTCAGAGTTCTTGCTTTCCTCCGGGCCCTGTGCGCTACCAAAAGGCAGCTTAATTGGGGCGCCCAGGTTTTAACCTCATCGGGCAGAGACGGAAGTAGAGGAATTGTAGGGAGTTCGGATTTGGTGCCGAAGTACCAGAGGGGAGTGCCTCAGTCCGGAAACGAAAGACCTCGTGATTGCAATAAGCAGGAATTCGGCGCTGGCTGTTTCTGAACTGCGGAGGGGCTGGTGGATTTCCTGGGGTGCTGATTTGCGGAAGAAACGGCTGGAGCGAGCCGGAGTGTGGCGTTTGGCCTGTTCCGGGAAAACTAAGGCGCCTAGAAACAACTACGCCGTCTGAGAGCCAGCAGCTCAAGCGGAATTCCGCGCTCGTGTGAGTGAGAGAGAGGGCAACGCAGACTTTTGGAGTAGGCAATGCCGAGAGAGTTGGAGCCCGAAACCATAAGAGGCAGTGAGAGTAGCGAGCGGGGCGCGGCAACTTGAATAGAGCGAGGTTTGAAAGCTTCAGCTAAGGTTACTGTAAAGCGACTGATTATTAGAGGCTGGAGGGAAGGGCGTCGAATTGCTCATACGCCTTTGTCGGAAAAAAGGGGGCGCGTAATAACGCAGATCCAGGATCACTAGAATCGGCGGGAATAGTTGCGAGGAGCCTGTTTCTCCGCTGCAAGAAGCCGGAATAAAATAACGCCTCGTTTGCCTCGGAGGTCGGTGAAGCTTGGCCTAGTACCGCTCGTCAGCCTTTTTTCCGGCCCTATGTGGTCTGCAGCCGCTCCGGACATCCCAAAATGAAGGGAACGGTGGAGCTTCGGCAGGTCTCGGCCTGGAGCGATTATGTTCGAGGCCGCTGGCTGCGGGAGCTGCTGGATCAGCGTCGTTCTGGGGAGCCTCCCAGCCGCATCCTAATCAGCCCCGACAAGCACCATCTGCTTCTCCTGTGGAACCAGCCGGCCTCCCAGCCTCGAGTGGTGTCTTTTCAGCGCCTGGGACTCGATGGAGAGGAGCTGGAGAGGACCTGGAAGCCACCTCAACCCGCAGTAATGGAGCTGCTTTTCTTGGAAAGCCCTGCCACAACTGTCTCCTGGGTTTTGGCTATCATTTGGGAGCAAGGCAGGACCGAAGTCTGGCGCTTTGTGGCCACCACTGGATGGCATTTGCTGCAGAGTCTGGAACTGTGTCATGGAGCTCGTGCTCGGATTGTCTCCATTTGCAGCTTGGGGGAACAGCTTGTGTGGTGTGAAGAGAGGCCTCCTTTGGATGCTCAGCTGACTCCTGAGAGAAGAGCCTTCCAATATTGTATTTGTGTTCGAGGCCTTCAGATTGGAGAGCAGGGTGTCCAGCTGAGCCCTCTCAGGGTTATCTTGCACAATAGCCCTGTTTACCAAGTCTTGGCCAAGCCCTCTGGAGTCTTCCTTGTCCCCACCCCAGCCACCTTCCCAAGAATAGCCAAGTTTGTCCTCATCTGGCGACCTGAAATGGCTGATATTGTTATTGCTGCGCCACATGGTCCGTGCATTTCCATAAAAGCCTCACATGCAGGCAGTGATGTAGACTTCAAAAAGCTAATGCTGAGTTACGTGGGATTCTTGGAATCCATGAAAAATTTGGCTGTACATAGCTGTGCCCTATCCAATTGCGGAGAGCTGCTCTTGATCACGCAAACAGGCACAATACAGGGAGTCCAACCTAATGGCGTGTGGCGACCTGTCTTTGACTTTTCAGGAGGCATTTTGTCTTCAGGAGAGCAGGTCCAACTAAAGGTATTTGGGGCCATCCTGGCTTGCTTACTGAAGGAGACTCTTTATCTTGTGGATTTGAACAGTAGGGAGTTGATAGAAAACAAAGTCCTGAGCACTGAAAGAGTATACTTTTTGGACTCTCCTACCATAGAAGAAGAAATCCAGGTCCTTGCTCAGGATGGCATTTATACTCTTGACTTCTCAGACTCTGATCAAGGCTGCCAGTCAGAACCCAACCTAGTGCAGATGGTGTTTGAAGAAGCCTGCAAATACTATCAAAGACGGAGTCTCAGCAGTTCCCAACTCACTGTGGAGAAACTGAAGAAGGGGGGCATGTTTCAGGCTCCTGTGACACTCTCTTCCATCCTGTGCTATAGTCTTGATCCCAAAGGAAAAAAGCTCCGGGCTCTCCCGGAATCTTATACCAAGCTCCTGGGCACAATGCAATTAGAACTGCAGAATTATCAAGACCTGGAGTTCCTCAAGTTGCGTGTGGTTCAATCTTCAGAAAGTGAGGTAAAGATCTATGGTGAAGCACTGGTGGAACAAGAACTCAGCCGCCTTCTTCGCTTGGACTTGAACAGAGAGAACTTGGCATACCTGAATGTTGTATTCACAGCTTTCCCTGGGGCTTTCTGGAAAGCTATCCAGAACCATCTCCAGTTACAAGAGAATGGGGCTGGCATGCTGGTAGCTAGAGCCACTCCAGATGTGTGGAAAAAAATTCTGGGGGGAGCTACTCTTAGCCCAAGTAAGCAAGAAGAAAGCCCTCTAAATGGAGTATTCCCCTTCTTTGAACTTGTCTGTCTTTCTCTTCTTGAGTTCAGGCCTAAATGGTTGCCTCACTTTGTAGAGCTATCCCAGCAGTATTTGGGTGCCTCCTGGACTTATAAAAGCAAAGAAGGGCCCGAGGGTGGTGTGCCCCTTTATAAGAGAGCACTAGCTGTACTGCCAAGGTGTGCCAGATGTCCAGTAGCAGATGGAGAAATGGAAATTGAGCTCTTGCTCTGTAGTCAGAGGCCCAAAGCAATCCTCCAAGCCATGGATCTCCTTATCCAATATGGGAGATGGCAGCATGTGATGGAGACAGCAGAGAAATTCTCCTTGTTGAGCCCTTTGCTAAACAAAGAGATTTTTATTAATCTCCTAGGGGAGTTTTCCCGGCACCGGGCCCTGGACCCCTACTTGGACAAGTTGTGGGAGCTCTGCCCTGCAGATATGAGTGCCCCTGATGTCATGAGCATTATTCAGCAAAATCTAGCATCAGCTGAGCTCAGTCCATTTCCTTTTGCACAAGATGGGTCATCCCAACTTACTATTGCCCTGCTCAAACCACTGTTGTACAGACTGGCACAGAATCAAACATTCCAGAATGAAATTTTTGGACATGTCTTACAGGTCCCATCCTTTCCCCCACCAACACCACCCAGGAACCAGCAGTCTCTTCCGAAAGCAGATTACCAGGAAGAGCTAACCTTCTTTCAAAACCAAACATAGTTTTTATCGTGTCACAATTAGAACAAGCAAATGGTATTTAAAAATGGTTCTGCAAAATCAGGAGCTACAGTCTTTATATTCCAAGCTTACCAGTTAAAGTGGGAAGTTAAATCACAGAATCATGTCTTGTCAATGACTTTGTTTGGAAGAGTGCAGAGCTAGGAAGGAGTGGAAACATTTTATATCTTTAAATTAGGGTAAATAAAGGCATCTCTTCCTTAACCTTTCAGATATGTTGGGATTATAATTCTCAAAATGAGAATTCTGGATTGTACACTATTTCTAGAACATCTGGAGGGCATCAATTGGGGACAGCTGCATATCAATGACATAATTGTTTCAGTAAAATTTGAAATATTACTGCTGGTGTACTTCCATCCCTTAATGAATAATATTATGGAACTGGTTGATATTCTGATAAAATGCCCATCTTTATTCATCAACTATATTTGTATATGAGTGTCACTGAGGAATAGCAGTGTTTGTGCTCAGAAATAGTCTTCCTCCAATACCCTTGGCTTTATGTGGATTAGGGTTACTGATTATTATAGACTAAGGCATCTAAAGACATCTGGTTGGAGAAGGTTTCTCTAAACTGTTGTTTCGTGAGGAGAGAAGTTTTTGATAATAACCCTAAAAGTTTCATTTGCCAGCCTTACTTCCTCCTAAACTAATGCTTTTGAAACTCCCTAAATGCAATCATCAGTTGCTGCTTCTCTGAAAATAATTACTCCTCAGGTGTATCACAGATTTAAGCAATATTTATTTCAAGCAGGGGAAGTCCTGCTGTTTTGACTGCATTTATCTAAGCACACCTTTGTCCCCTGCTTTTTAGAAGAGTGGAAAAGATTCACTATAATAATTTGTGCCATATTTCTTTGTAAGAAAGTATAATTCTCCCTAATGCTGCATTTCATATTTAAGCAAATTTTTCTTTGCTTTAAAATGGCAAGGCTTGAAATGAGGTGCTATTGTAATGCAACTCCTGACAATGTTTACTCCACTTCTGCTTAAGACTAATTACCCTTTTAAGTAAAACTAGCCCTCTCCATGAGAGATTGAGAATTTATGCCTTCCAAACATTGCTATGCTGCAATTTCTGGCATCCTCATGTCCTTCATGCATAATGATAGGGCCTTTTTCTATATAAACAGAAATAGAGGAATCCTTAAGTGGTCTAACCATGAATATTTTTTCTATGTGTAGGTAGTTGGTGATACAGCATCATTTTAATTCTCATGAAATTGACAGGATTGTTTTTTAAAAATGCATATTTTCCCTGATATAATCCAAAAAGAAGGTAGCTTGTTGAATGTAATAAGAGCTACGCTACTTCAGTTCTCGTATCAGAGTGAGTTTAACAGCTGCTTTGCTGCCAACTTTTGATTTGAAAGGCAATGGGATCCGCATGAAAACTGTTAAGAGATGGAGAATCTGAAGCCCTCCCAAAATTGCTGAAATCTTTGGAATCCCAAGCAGTTTGATTAAGGCTCAGAAATGCCAGAAATTAAGGAGTGTCACAGGTTTCCCACCCATTTTGAAAAGATGGTTGTGAGCAGATACTTTGTCTACTGTTTATGCTGTTAATTCTGTTGCCCTGTCCTACAGTTTGGAAAGTTTTCTAACGATTGTTTAGTAGGGAAAGGCTCTGCCCTGATATCTGAGAAATGTGAATGAAAGTTAAGGTATCCATTGACTAGGCTTGAGTAGCCTTCACTGCCTTGGCAATCTGGGGGTTTTAGTGTAAAGCAAATATTTTTCTTTCCAGCTGTGAGCTTCCCCTTTCTAGAGTAGCAGACAGACATGTAGGAGAAGTCAAGAGCTACTCTAAGTCTCCCTTTTACTCTGTCAGAAGCAAACAAGGGAGGCACAGGTGATGAAAGTACACAAAACACTTGGCTTATACCAAACTGGCCATCCCAAATCTACAATATCTGCTACTTTTTTCAGGTGCATATTTTTCAAAAACCTCAAGCTTCCTCATTCCAGAGCCATTTTAAAGTTATTTTAAGAGTTGAAAATTACTGTAAAATTCCCCCCTTGATTATAAAGAGGCAAGCTTCTTTGTCCTCTCTACAGACTAATGGGATTCTTTGTTAGTGCTGGACTTCAAACAGGGGTTGGCTCTTTGTTCTCATGAAGTAGGGGTGAAAGGATAAGCAGCCTTAAGATTTGCCTGGATGCTTTGTACCGTGCCTATTTTGAGTACCTTGGCAGAGATATAGTAGGCTTTTAAAGCTTCTTTTTAATGAATAATTTTAATGAGTAAGCATTATATACTCCCAGCTGTATCTTCTATAGTATTTTTGTTAATTCAGTCTGAGTCTCTTGTTAATGGGGACCAACATTAGTAGATAATTCATAGTCTGACCTGGAAGAATGTCAACTAAGAGAACAAATCACGTCTAGGAAGAAAAAATACAGCAAGCAAACTGCTAGCAGGGTCTCTTTGTCTCTTGAGTCTAACATAAGAGCTGTAATCTTAGTTTCCCAGCTTCTTCTATAAAACTGGGAATATCCCTGCCTTTAGATTCTCTAACTGGAATGTTCAGGGAAGAGTTGATTAAGTGCTCTTAACATAATTGATCAGATACTAGCTTTCATAATATGATGGGAGGGGAGTTGGAAGTGAGTGCAAAACATCAAGAAAACAATTGTTACAATTATTAATTTGATGAAACAGCTATCTTAGTGAATGTTCTGGCTTGGTCAACCATTGAATTTTGAGACAGTTAAATTCCTGTTGAATAAGCATTTGTCACATCATTACAAAAATAGACCAAAGTTATATTTAACAGCAGCATTAGAAATTATGGTTTCTTTTATTAAAATATTTCAAGTCCAACAAAACATAGCTTCCAGACCATTTGGGATTTCCTTCTTACACTGGGGCAGCCAGGGGCAGCCAGCTAATTTTCAAGCAAGGTCCAAAACTGATATCCTGATTATTTATTCTTGATTTATGTTAATATTTAACACTGCAATTCCAGTAACAGCAAGATGTCATTCTTGGGGAACAACAATTTATAAATGCTAAGTATCCAAGGCCTACCTCAAATCCTATAAAAGCTATGAAAAATATAATTTCCTTGAATTTACAAACGAAAAACAATACATTAATAAAAATAATTATATTCATTCAAATGAGAAGCAAAAGCATTTGTACAGATTCAAGTATCTTTCTTGGCAAAGTAGTTAGGGAGGAGGGGAGTGGTGTAATTTTCACTCTAGTCTTTTTCACTCCTGGTCTTCCATAGAATCAAATAAAATTTATTATATAATAGAAATCATATAATTCAGGCAACTGAAAATATCTTTATGAAACAGTGGAAATAAGACATAATTTAAGTAAGACAAAAGCTGCTAGGAACAATTACTGTCCTAGGCTAAGTGATAGCATGCTATCTTGAATTGCTTCCCATATATTATCGGTTTTCATAAACCCCTTAGGAAAAAAAGAAATGGAGTTGTAGATAATTTGCTAAGACAAGGTCAGTCTTAATGATGTCGTAGCAGTGAGTAAGTAAAAGTGAGAATGTGTATATTAAACTCTGATTGTTTGCATGTTGCTCTGAAACATTGAAATATGAGCCACTCCCCCACCCCCAATATCTGGATGAGATAGTTACATTTTATGTAATGTTTTCATTTTTCCTTGATTAATGAGATTTCATTTGTTACTATTGCTTTAAGTAATCCTTCACAAATTCTTCTAAAAGCTAATTTGTCAGAAGGTCGCATATGGTGATCACATGACTCCAGCACACTGCAGTTGACATAAATATGAATCTGTTGCCAAGTGTCTGAATTTTGATCACATGACCATGGAAATGCTGAATTGGTCACAAGTGTGAAAAATAGTCATGTCATTTTTTTCAGTGCCATTGTTACTTTCAAAGATGAACTGTTGTTAAGTTGAGGACTACCTGTATTATCTGCTACTAGTCCAGTCTTTCCCTAAACTTCAAATTTCTAATACTGACTAGGAATTATGTCACACATTCTGAAATGCCACAGATCAGGCATGACTAATCTAAAGGAATAGAATCCTCGTGTTGTTCCTCTTCCAAATGGTTATCATATCATCTTTTCATTATTCATTTTGCATTAATCTAAACGCATTCATTCCTATTATTAATTTCATAATAAATATTACTAATTCTATTCACCTGATGAGACAATTTTCCCCATTCTCATGAGAGAATCACATTTCTGACAAATTCACGGTTCAGTATTATTGGGGAGGAGATAAATGCCCAAAATATGCAAATCAAGTATTGGAGAATGTGAGGAAAGGGAAAAGAGAGAAACATACATCTGTAGATTGCAATGATGTACTGAAGCACAAGACAAACTCTTCAAAGTGCTCTAGATAAAATTTAAGGCAATTCTTTCTTCCTGATACAGAACTGCTCAGTAGTATTTCATTATGGCTCATATTTGCTTTCTCTTCCAGAGTATTAACCTTTAGAGTAGGTATGGAGTAAGTATCCGGCAAAGGCACTATTTGCAATTCAGCTTAATACAGCAAAAATTTCTAAATCTGCTGAGGGACAAAGTATTACTGTAAGGATGTTTTGCTATATATATTGGGGGTCTGTATAGTAATTCAGTAGAATGCAGCCTCTTGAATATGGACAGCATTAAGACTGCAAGCCTAATCTCTATAACAGAGCACAACCCTGTTGATACCCTGAGCATACAGCCATACTACACTTCTCTGTGACAGGGCTTATGGCACAGTAGTCTCTTTTGTAGGGGAAAAGGTATTGCCATCTTACAAACTTGTTCAGGGAAAAACTGTGGCAAAGATCCACACACTGCACAATGTCAAGAGAAACCCAAGTCTTCTCTAAACCATTGCTATCTTCATAGCAGCTCAGAGATGGAATGCTGGGGGGGGGGGGAATCATTTCTTCAGCTCAGCCCGGGGCATTTTGAATGTGTTTTGCCTTGACCTATAATGGGAAAAGAAGAAGAAATTAAGAAAATTGAACCTTGATGGTTGGTAAGCAACAATAAGAGTAAGGATGATATGGAAGTAAGAAACTTTAGGGATTTTGTTGTTTGGCAGCTCTCAATCCCTCACTATAGATTCATTCTAAGATAGGGCTTTAAAAATCCTCTCTACCCTGATAAATATACCACCACACTATTTAGCATCCCAAACATTATTTGTTTGCAAATGAAGTCAGCATGCAAAACTTATAGCAGTGGTGGCGAACCTATGGCACGCATGCCAGAGGCGGCACTCAGAGCCCTCTCTGTGGACACACGTGCCATTGTCCCAGCCTCGCCTTCCCCCCACGACCCCCTCCTCACCAGCAACCCCCCTGGAGAGTCGCCCCTGAGCGTGGCCCACACGGAGCAGCACAGCCAAGGACATGGCAGCCAGGCAGCGTAGACAAGACTCTGCCCTCATGCCCCATCCCGCACAGTTAATGCTGCAGGGCGCGGACAGAGGACGTGGCCGCCATGGCACTGCTGGGCTGCCTGGGCGATCTGCAATGGGCCCTGGAGGCGGTGAGTGGCCCTGCAGGCAGGTGGAGTGGGGGCGGGGCCAGTTTTTGGGCACTCAGTCTCGAAAAGGTTCGCCATCACTGACTTATAGTATTGTAATGATGGCTGTTTCCCACTCTACAGACCATTGGGTTCATTTTCTTTTTAAATATTAACACCAGAACAGGGAGCTGCCTACATTGTTTGGTATTCTTTACACCCCAAATGGCTTTTACGCTCTAGTGCAGGGGTGTCAAACTCGCAATGTCACATGTTGTATCACGAAATATCATGACTTTTTGCCATTGCCAGCAATGGGGTGGGCGTGGTTTCGCTATGATGCATTCGGCCTGGAGGCCAGCAGTTTGATACCCCTGTTCTAGTGGCTAATTAAATGGCTCTTCTTTAGCTTAATACTGACATTTGCTTGAACTACAATGCTGCCTAGCAAAGATTGATCACAGCTATGGAAAGATACTCACAGTTCAAAGTTTTCCATAATCTCAATCTCATCCCTAATAGAAAGAAAGGGATAGTGTCAATGACAAAGTAGTGATTGAGCTGGACATCATCACAAAGAGAGGCAGGGAAAATAGTCTCCAGGTATGCTATGGCAAGATCACATTTCTGAAGCAGTTCTCCTAGGAAATGTAGCCCCAGGAAGTTGGGGGGTACTTGCACAGATGATTCTGAAGAAATTTTCAAGCTAGTTTATAGACCATACTGGGAAAATGAAAGCCCACAGCCTTAGCAGCATCCCCTATTACATAATAAATCATCCTTACTGATATATGTCATCGACGCTCATTCGACGATAAAACTTGGCAAGCCGCACAGCCAAGATGATACTTGGCAACAGAAAGATTGTGCACCAGGCCAGACTGAACCAGAAGGCATTCTAGGAGGGGGAAAGAGAAGGGATGAAGTGTTGGAGGCAATGCTTCAAGTGTTTCAGTACAGATTTAGTTGATTGAGACTGCCAAGAGAAATACAGTATCTCTAACGATGGACATATCCCCAGTTAAGTATTTGCACATTCTGGTCCTAACACGCACTAGAGCCTTCTTTATGTACCTTCTACTCCCTTTTGTATTCAGAAGGCATAGCTTTCATGTGTGCATATGCACCTCTAATGTTTCCCTACATTTTTTTTTCAAAATTAAGACATTAAAACAAACTGACCCCCCAAGACAACTATAATGATATGCTCTCTTATTTACAATTTAGTGTTACACCCTCTGTAACACTATCTCTTGCATTAAATCCAGGTTGACATGATTAGCAATCCTACATCTCAATTAATCTCTCTGAGAAGTATTGATTTTCTCACCAAAGAATCAACAAGGTAATTGCAGACAACGGTATTCATGCTGTCCAGTGCCCAGGCTACAGGGCCGCAACGACCCAATTGTCTCATGATCTGTCAACAAAGGTTTAAAAGCAAAACAAAACATTTCATTAGAGAAGTTTCATCAGAGAAAACCAAGCCTTGGTCTTCTTCAAATAATTTTCATTATTTGATCACCATATATTTTGAAATCTACAATTTCTTTTCCAACCCAGAAAGAAAAGTTCAATCCCTCAATAACTGTATTTTGCATTTTCATTTTAAAAAATAAGGAAAAAAATCTTAATGGCTGCCCTCATGCAACATGCTTAAATCCAGATTAACAAAGCACAATTGGTATATTGAAACAAATAGATAATTTTTTTCTGGCTCATCCAACAATTCTAATGATCTTCATACAACATACCAAGGGAATGGAAAGGCTCTTGGATTAAAAAATAGTCATGCCTCTGAATTTACATGTTTGGTAAAGGTTTGAACAAGTACAGATAACTGTACTTGGCAAGATAAAAGTGTAAATCCAGCAATTTTATTTATTTATTTATTTTATTAATAAAATTTATATGCCGCCCAATCCCTAGGGACTCAGGGCGGCGTACAAAATTAAAACAATAAATATAACAATAAAACAGTAAAATAAGTGCATTCATACAGCATGTCCCAATCGTATCCTTATTCTACTAGAAATAATTGATAATACTTACAACATGCTGAGCCCAGCTCACATAAGAGGAAAAATAATTCAGTATGTGCAGTATAAAAGTCTTGATCTCCTAGATGGAAATAAAGAAGAGGATGGGTTCAAATTCAGGAAATGGTTCAGTTTTGGTGTAAATATCCTGTATAAACTGCATTGCAGATTCGTGAGTTTTGGAGCATAAATATCCTATATGTCCATGAATGGAAATGAAGCTCTAGAAAATTTGGGGGGCAGGGAGAGAAGAAGAGAGCAAGCAGAGATCTTTCGTGCAAGATCTGCTAGAGGTAATAAGATTCTCCATGCTTAAATTACTCAGAATAACTTCTTCAGATTTCAGGCAAGCATAAGAAGCAGGACCATACTGCTACAGGTAATCCTGGACTTACGACTATTTGTTTAATGACTGAAGTTCCAACAGCCTAGAAAAAGTGCCTTATGACCAGTTCTCAAAACTAAGACCATGATACAACTCTTATGTATCAAGGTTCTGGTTGAAGAACCCAATGAAGCTGGAGACATTCTGATCTCTAATGCAAAACTTTATTGGGCAAAGCATACCAGCACTAAAGAATGGAAAACCAGCTCTGGCAATATGACGGGAAAAAGATAATTAAAAGAGTAAAATTTTCCTTCCCCTGACAGTTCAGGTCACATTGTCCAATTAATCTTCAAGCATTTATTATGAGAATTCAGTCTCCGTTCGCCACAACATCTCTCTGGTGACCTTGTTTCCCATACTGATAGAAACCACCTGTGCATTCCAAACCTTCCACTCCCCGTAAGTGTAGGCAATCTAGAAGCAGCATGGCAGTCCTAATGCAAGAAATCATCATAGTTGACACTATGGCCACATGAATGCAATTTGGGCACTTGGCAACTCGCTCCCATTTACAAGTGGTTGCAGTATCTTGTAGTCATGTGATTTGAGATTTGTGACCTGCCCTGCCATTTTCCTACAAGCAAAGTCAAATGGGGAAGCCAGACTCACTTAAAGACTATGTTATCCTCTTAATGATACATGATTTGCTTAATGACTGCAGTAAACATGATCATAACATTGGATCCAATCATGTGATGACTTCCTTAATGACAATATTGTTTATCAACCAACATTCTGGTCCCAACTGTGTCATAAGTCAAGAACTACCTATATTCATGAAAGTAGCACAATGTTTTTCAGGATTTGAAGCTAGCCTAAGGAATCTACCTATTGGCTTAATGAGTGGATTCCTTAAAGTAGCAGCATTTTCCTTCAGGCCACTTAATGAACAAGAGCACTCCCGCAATGTCTGAAGCACTTTTTCTAAGTCCTTTTTTAAAGCATGCACAGCCCTAGGAAGTAACATACTTTTGCTCATCTGTTTTTGTGTCCCACTTCTCACTTTAGATTGCTGAAGTCAGTTCTGACCAAAGTACTGGGGCCAACTGGTACAGTTTACTCACACAGTAAATAAATAAACAAAAAAACATACTAAGGTACTCATGAAGACTTACGCTGTTTATGATTTCCTCTGTTTCGTGCTGTATAAATGAACTGGTGTCATTTATTTCCGACAGCGTGAAGTTTATCAGATTCTGGTGGGATACATTGGTGTTAGGTTCTTTCAAAAGCTTCTATTCAAGTATATCTGAGCTGTCTGCTCAAGAAAAACAGCTTACACACCTAGCATCACATATCCCACAGCATATTGAAAGCTGAAACAAGTCCTTTGATATATTGTATTAAATTTAACCTGAAGGGAATGATGTCAATAAGCATTTTAAATCAAAGATATTCAGCTTCACACAAATAGCTCTTCTAATGCTATAGATGGACCTTCCACACCCACTGAAAATCTTTTTATGCCAAGATAAATTTCTGAACTCCCCAGCTGGCATTTAGTAATATGAAGTGACAAGTTTATATTTCTGTCTCAAGGCCCAAACAGATTGGCCTTTAGCAGAACATCTGAAATATCTCAAGGAAGGTCCTTTACAGAAATCTTTAGGAACCCTAGAATCAAATGCCCCGTTTCCAGTTTTTCACTTCCACCCAGCCTGCTTACTGGAATTTGAGGTGCAGTTTTCTGCAACTTTTGGATGCTTCTCGTCAAGTGTTGCTGAGGGAGAGAAAAAATAAATTCCTCATTCAGTGATACCAGGTTTGGTTAAAGAAGATAAAGAGAGACAAAGGAAACTACACTCACAATTTCTGGAGGAAATTTGAGGTTTATCCAATTTTGGATGTTCTTCAGCTCAGCAGCTTGACCTTTCAGATTGTGACTTGTGCTACCAGTTGTCTGAAAATAAATGAATGAATGTGTGTGTGTGTGTTCATTAAACTTGACATGGAGTCATATCCAATTAGCATTTGTGCTCTGTAATTTCAATACCCCATTTCATTCCACTCTACCTCAACAACTACCTTCTAGTTCAAAACAGATCCTATTCCAATTGTTTCAGTGAACTTTCAGGTCAGGATTTAGTACTGAGACAGCCTTGGTCATGCTTATTGATTGAGCATGTGGTTGAGCCAAGATGCAGATCATGTGCTCCTTGATCTCTTAGCAGCTTTCAGTATCACTGACCATGGTATCCTTCGGAGATAACTCCATGGATTAGGGATTGGGGGAGGAATTTTAGAGGGGTTCTCTTCCTTTCTCTAAGCCCAAACATATTCCATTTTTAACCATGGAAGAGGTAACATTCCTCTTCAAATTTGGTGTGCAATCTGGGAATCTTCCTGGACTTGCAGCTCATGCTTGATGAGCAGGTGTTAGCTGCAACCAGGAGGGTATTTGCACAATTTCATCTGGTGTACAAATTTTACCCTTTCCTAGATTGGGAATCCCTTCAGATAGTTGCTCATGCCCTAGTCATCTTATGGTTTATCTACTACAATGAGCCCTACACTGACAGCCCTTTAAACATCTAGAAGACTTTCCAGAAGCTTCAACTGGTCCGAATGCAATTGCAAGAGCAGTGATGTGATCCCTTGGTGTGCCCATGTAACATCTCTGCTTCACAAGCTGCACTGGTTGCTAGTTTGCTTCTGGGTATGATTTAAGGTGCAATTCAAGGTTATCACTCATGCCTTTGGTGAGGGAGAGTGAGACCCATTCCATCTGGTCTGTTGTGTTTGCCATGTTTTTTTTATTTTATTAAATGTATTTATTTGTGAGCTGTCCAGAGTTGTAGGGAATCAGATAGGATACTGGGTTTTTTTTATTATTAATATCCAGAACTTCCTGATCTCTAATTATTTTTGTGCAGTTCACTGCCAAAGCTACTTAAAGGCCACATTCCAAGACACAATTTAGAACACAATCAGTTTACATCTTCCAATGGCAGCTGGGAAAATAGCTGCATCTACAAAATTCCATGTCTACTCAAAAGGATTTCCTATAACATCTGCTGTATATCTTAGAAATTGAGGAAGACAGTTATATAGGGTCCTATATAACTGTCTTCCTCAATTTCTAAGATATACTTGCCCAAGGACTACTCACGGTGTTTGCCAGTTTTTCCAATTTATTAGCCAAAATGTTCAGGTCTTGTTTGGTCAGATTCTGGTTAAGCTATAGAAAAAGGAGAAAAAGAGAACACAGAAATCAAGCAAACAAAATACACTTGAATGAATTAAATATAGAATTGAAGGCAGATTTACTTTTAAGTATTTCTGCATACTGTATTTTACTTGTCAATACTCATGTTTTAATATATATTATTGTTTTTCCTCATCCCGTCACTAGGAGGAGTGAGTTCACTTTATCCCTCTTTTCTGCTGAACTGCTAGAGCAGTGGTTCTCAACCTGTGGGTCGGGACCCCATTTGGGGTCGAATGACCATTTCACGGGGGTCGCCAAACAGCGCAGTCCGCCATTTTTTTCCCCTTTTCCCTAGCTGTCCTACTCCCTCTTATTGGTGGCCACACCCACTTGGGGGTCACCACAACATGGGGAACTGTATTATGGGGTCACGGCATTAGAAGGGTTGAGAACCACTGTGCTAGAGAGATTTTTCAAATGTCTGCTAGGAACTATTAGATTATTTGCTTTTGGATACATAGGTATTTTTATGACTGTTTTCTGACAGGAGAGCAATCCGTCAGGTTTTCTGATTATCCTTTAAGGCAGTGGTTCTCAATCTGTGGGTCGGCACCCCATTTGGGGTCGAATGACCATTTCATGGGGGTCGCCAAACAACGCAGTCTGTCATTTTTTTCCCCTTTTCCTTAGCTGTGCTGCTCCCTTTTATTCTATTGGTTTTTGAAAGCCAATAGAATAGACTCTCTTGAATAGAGTCTAATTCTATTGGCTTTCAAAAGCCAATAGGAATTGTCCAGGCTGTCTCTGCCCTGCTGAGCCCACCAAAAGTTCCATTCTGCAAACGGTGCTGCACCAGTTGAGTAGTCCTCAACTTACGACCGGTTGAGTAGTCCTCGACTTACGACCGGTTGGGGGTCGTGGCATTAAAAAGGTTGAGAACCACTGCTTTAAGGACTAGGTAAAGTCTCTCCTCTTCATAACAGCATTAGCAGGCAAATTGATCAATCAAGTTGGCCTGTCTGATCACTGCTGAATTACTCATTGTGGTTACTATTATTTATAAAGAATGACATGTTTTCATTGCATTTTTATTATTTTATTATACTATATTAAGATGTTAATCTATACCAAATGCCCAAAAGAAACATACATGTTAAAGAAAGAACAGTTTAAAAAACCCACACAAAACTTTAGAAGTACATATTTTAAATATTCTCTCTACTGTTTGGCTATAGATGCAAACCTTAGGGCTTCACCAAACACAGCTACAACTGGAGCAGTTGCCAATAAACTACTTTGACAACATCAACTCAGAATCCTTGTGTGACAGACTCTTAACTCCTGTTTCCAGGAAACAGCAATGTGTTCCCCAACAAATGTGAACATCACCCATTCTCCACCAAATACAGAAGAATGTCTGGTGAGCTCCTGTTCTGGGAAGGAAATTATATCAACATTTTTCCTTTCTTTCACAAGCCTTTTCCTTATTTTCCATCTTACTTGTTCAAGAGTACTGTTAAAATCCACATTCAGAGGCCCATCTTTTGAACTCAGTTTCAGCAAGTTGTTTCTTTGTTCATCCTTCAGAAGTTCAATAGAGCCAATATCGATTTTTGTTTTATTCAAGGCTGAATCAATGTCTTGAGTGTACTAGAGAAAAAAACAGAAGTGCCAGAGGAGTATATGCAGAGCACAACATCATTTGTTCTGCAGTACATTCTCCAGAACTGTCCAAGAGGGCTGTAGCTGTGCCCTATTCCCAAATGCTTAAACTATTCCTGGTGACAACCCTAAGCTGATGTCTGGGAGCAAAAAGTTAACTCTATCACTGGGTTGATTCGTTATATAGGCAGCCATCATTTACCTTGCTGATGTTGAAGGTCTCATTCAAAGAAATGGTCTCATCTAGGTGAAGGGTACTCCACAAGGGTGCATTGTCTTCACAATTTCTTTAAAAGAGGAAAACAGGATGCATAATATTATATGAAGGATAAATTGAATAAGAACATTACCCCATAGAACAAGCTCTCCAGTCCTGCACATTAGGTCTCCCTATCCCTCTGGTCCATAACTAGAAAGTTCTTCAGAATGGCTCAAATGTGTTTGTTTTTGTTTAAAAAAAAACCAACTGGGCTTTCTTAGTACTTTCTTTGAACTGAAGAAGCTTCTTGAATGAGAAGTAAAATGTTGTCAAAGGAAACATTAACAAAGTCCAGTTGCTTTTTGGAAAAAAACATATTTGGGATAACCATGACCTAGATCAGTGCTTTTCAACCTTTTCACAGATTGTACCACTTTTAGGACATGACAATATTTGAGTACCACCAGTGCTTAGCAAGGTGTCAAAAATTTGATGAATTAAAAAAGGGGGGGATTTTGGATTTTACTGATTAGATTCATTTGTTGTTATAGAAATGGGTAGTTTATAATATTATGGAAAAGTAAAAATTTGAGGTTCAATGTTAGTGCTTCCTTCTGCTGCAACAGAAGAAGCTGTTCTTTTTCCCTTCTCCCCCTCACTTTTTTCCCCTTTTTCCCCCCCACTATATCCTACTATTTGCTTTTGTATTTTATTCTATAATCTAATAAAATGTTACAAACTGTAGAAAAAAGTTAAAAAGTACTGGTTTTAATTTCCTCAGTGGCTGTTCCTTTGCTGAATCATGTTCCCTTTGCATTGACAAATGTATGACGAATTTATCCATGTTTATTAATATGCACCACTACCAGCTAGCTCAGGGGTCTTCAAACCTGGCACTTTTAAGACTTGTTGACTTCAACTCCCAGAATTCCTCAGCCATCATGGCTGATTGAGAAATTCTGGGAGTTGAAGTCCACAGGTCTTAAAGTTCCTAAGTTTGTAGACCCCTGAGCTAACTGGTCGGCCCTTCTTCCTCTCTCCCTCTCCTCTTCTTCCTCCCTGCCTTCTGAGCTGTCCTTCCACAGTGTAGTAAGAATGCACACACACACCTAGTCCTTTCCCTGTACTCTTAAAGACATAGGAATCAAGCACAAAGCAAGAAAGGCTCACAAAAGCCTCCCAGAATAAAGAAACACTGACTGTGTTTTTTTTTTTTCCTTTAAGCTGCCTCAGGCCTGTCTCAGTTTAAACAATGTAGCAAACAAGCTCCAGCAGTTGCAAAAAGCGATAACCTTAAATTAAGCCTGTTTACCTACAAAGAAAACTTGCTAAAAGCCATAGATAGACCCAAGGGGGTAAAATTAATTACATTTGTTTAAAGGGATTAAACCTACGAAGCCAACACTTTGGACTCATTGGTAGCCTTTGTGAAACAGACCAATAACCAAAGCACACAAACCAAGCCTCTGAATTACAAAACGCTATAAAAACTGTATAAAAAGCCTTATGGTAATCCATTCAAACTGCCAGTTGACCAGGAACCCACTGGCTTCCAAAATAAACCCACCTCCTTTCCAACATGCTCGTCTGCCAGCTTTTCATTTCATTAGCACTGATTGTATTCTCTTGGCCGGAGAAAATGAACCAGGGGACCTTTTCTTCCAGCACCAGCTGCTGCTTCTTCCCCGTTTCTTTTTCCTCCCTGCCTGCTGAGCTCTCCTTCCACAGTTTCTTCTCCGTCCTCTTCTCTTTCCCTGTTGTCTTTTTTCCCCTTTCCCATAAAAAACACCTATTTTTATATCCTCTCCTCCCCCCCCCCCTTTTCTTCACTTCACCTCCAGCTCCATGCTGCTTCCAGAAGCGCCAATCAGCTGGAGCCCTGCCGGTGCTCCTGGGGCTTCTGCCAAAGCCCGACAGTCCTGCAGGTCCAGCTGCCTCTCCCTTAGGCTTGGGTCTCTTCAGCTCATTCCCCTCCCCCACTACATTTCTCTAGGATGGTTGTGAATCACCATGTGCCAAAGTACCACAGGTGGTACACATACCACTGGTTGAAAAGCCCTGACCTAGATGATTGAGAATCTCCACAGATATCTTCAGAATGGCCTTACTGTAGAAGCAGGCACATTACAGGTAATCCTTGACTTACAACAGTTCATTTAATGACCATTCAAAATTATAATGGCACTGAAAAAAGTAATTTATGACCGTTTTTCACACTTACAACCATTGCAGCATCCCCAGGATCATGTGATCAAAATTCAGATGCTTGGTAACCAATTGATATTTATGATGGTTGCAGTTTCCTGGGGTCATGTGATCACCTTTTGCAACCTTCTGACAAGCAAAGTCAATGGGGAAACCAGATTCCTTAATAACCATGTTACTAACTTGACAACTGCAGTGATTTCCTTGTGGCAAGAAAGGTTGTAAAATGAGGCAAAACTCACGTAACAAATATCTCATTTAGCAACAGAAATTTTGGGTTCAAATGTGGTCATAAGTCAAGAACTACCTGTATTCATTCCTATCACTTGCACACACAAACAAGTCTTCCTCTTCCTTGCAAGGAGCAGGTGAGAAAAATTCAGCTTTTGTGGTCACTGACAGCAAAAATATGTACACTATTTTCAGCGGCTTCAACTTGGTCCTATCACTTAGGTCAGGGGTGTCAAACTACCGGCCTGCGGACCGGATGCGTCATGGTGAAATCGCGCCCACCCCATTGCTGGCAACGGCAAAAAAGTTGCAATACATCATGACATGTCACATGACATTGTGAGTTTGACACCTCTGACTTAGATGATCTATAGACTATCCTGGACCAATGGAGGTGGAGGGATGGGATGGGGTAAGAGGAGCTCATCCATTGGGAAGGGGAAACTGAAGGGACTTGCTTAGGAGAAAGCTTTCAAAGTAGGACTTAAAGCACATGATTTGTGCAGAGACCACATTCTGGGAATATGGTTCATATACTATTCTAGCAACCTTTAACTCATTTATAAATACTTTAATCTGTGTAGTGCTTCCATGTATTTCATTACAGGTTTTCCTCTGTACACCCCCCCCCCCAAATTCTATTTCACTAAGCCTGCAACATTTATGTTCTCTCCAGATTCTCCTTCCTCACAAGGAAACTGAGGACAAACATAATGATAGTTCACCCAAGCAGCTTGGCACTCACTTGTATATGCTGGTCAGGTTTATATCAGAACCCTTCATATTCATGAGCTTTTTCACATTTAATTCAGGAAACAATCCAGATGTGTCCAGATACTAGAAAAAAGATAAGTAGCATCTGATAAAATCTTTTCTAAATTTTCTTAAACTCTTTACTGATCCCTCTAGCTGTATTTTCTCCTCTCCCAAAGCTGAAACTGCTGCAGCTAGTGACTGAAATAACAATGACTTATGAAAGTTGGAAGAGGGAACTGCAAACAAAGATTGCAAATTAATAAACCATTATTAATTCTATAACCATGAACTAATCTTTTTCCCTCTGTCATAATATTTATGCATTTATTTTATTAGGCTTACAGTATGTGCCACTTCAATTATCAACCAACTCTAAGCAGCCCCTTGTCTTCTCATTCCTAACCATGAGGGGATACTTAGCAGTTCTGAGTACAATAGCAACCTAGGTGGCTTACCTGAAGGAGAATTCCATTAGACCAAGGCTGGCACACCAACGTGTATGAATTGCCCCCAACTAAAAATAGCAGTAGAACCAGCAACATCAGCAACCATGAAAATATAAAGCTGAATCCAACACTCCTGTCATGAAAGATGAGAATTAATCAGAGGTTTACATTGCAAATATTGATTTGGATGTGAACAACCCATAGAACCTTCTACAGTTGGATCTTATATTCTCATGGTGCCACTTTAGTGTGAAGATCCATAGAGCAAGGCAGGAAAACAATGTGCTGAGGCAAGTAGAGGACATTATCAACTTAGTAGTGTACCTTGGCATTAACAGCGACATTTGTGTACAGTATCAATTTATGTTTTCCTGATAGAAATCTATGCTAAGTGTAAAATTAGAAAACTTTCTATAAAGTACATTCTCCAAAGCAACTAACATTACATAAAAATATCAGCAGTGTTTTTGGTTATGATCTGGAAGGATATAAAGAAGTTATTGTCAGTTATTTCCCTATATTGAACAGAAGAGAACATTTCTTACGCCATAAAGAAGTTTCCACCGGTGTTGGAGAGGCAGCCTCGTTTGGTAGGCCATTGCATTCCATGTGGATCTAGCCCAAGACTACCAAGCAAAAGACCCAACACATTGAATGCAATTATTACAAGCAGCAGGCAGCAAAGGCAGACGCCAACACCCCACCTGTAGTGAAAGAAATCAACTAGTTAACACTCAGACTTCAAACAATGAAGGAAGGAAAGGGGTGAAAGTACACTCAGTTGAGTCAAATCAGTTTAATTCAGTTGAAATCAGAATAAGGAAGACTATGCTGTGCTAGCATCTACAACAGACTAATTTTGCTCAAACAGGATGTTTACCAACCAGGATTATAATTTCCTCAAGTAACCAAATTTTCTCAGGTACTGTACATAACACATTAAACCACAAAGTACCTGCATGAGTTGGGTTTGCATCCTAGGCTAAAATGTGCTTGGATCATTTGTAGCTCAGTGCATTATGAACATAGGCACTAGAAGTTAAAGGAAGTAATAAAAATAATAAGACCCAATTCAAGCTCAGAGCATAAGAACTGGTATTAAATTCTGATTAAATAATTAAATAGATCCTTAAACTTTTGCAAATTAGAGGTGCTGGTCATTCAAACAACATGCTTGAAACAGTACCTCAGAGATTTCTAGAAGCCTCATTTTTCTTCTGAGCTACACCATATTTTCTATAACTGACTTTCTGTCTACTAAAATGGAATGTAGATATCATCCCAAATAATTCTGCAACATATGAAAAATTGAGAAATTTTTCCTACCTGTAGCCATCATATTGGACCACAAGTGGTTTGTAGTCATTTGCCTTCTTTACAAGATTTTCCATGAATGCAGTGATATTCTTCATTGAGACCAGCATGTGAAACTTATCACTGATTGCATTAATTTCCTTCTTGACTTTGTAAAGTATATCCTGTATATCTTTAATAATTGGAGCCAACACAGGTAAATCATTATACTATGTGTATTATCATGGATCACCTAAACAATAGCAGCAATTATCCAAGGATAATGGATATGTTAAGCTCTCCAACTACAATTTACACTGCATCTTAATCTAAGTGATGCAATTCAACTTTTTAATTACCTAAGAGGCATCTTTAACAAAGCAATAAACAACAGACAAAGTTGACTGCAAATTCTGGGAGTGAAGATTATATTATTTTTGAGGGATCAGTTCCCATTAAATGAAACTAAAGTCAGGGTGTAGTAGGAGCAGGAAAATAGCTACACATGGGAATAATAAGTAGAATAATTCAGGAAACTAGATATGTTTGACCAAAGAGGCTGAAAAACAATAAATCATGAAAAACAGGAATCTACCTAATACTGCATCAGATCTTCATCTTACACATATTATCTGCACTGTCTAATGTTCATACAAAATCCCAGGATTTTTTACTATGGTTAATTAAGCAAGCCATAATGGGCTGATTCAAATACAGGTAGGTTGAATCTATACAAGTATATAAAAAAAAGCAAATTGATTACTTCATTTTGATGAAATTTCAAGTGAAATACTCTCTAAGGTGTGACTAAAAAGAATCATTTGCTTCACATTGCTCTGCTTTTCAACCACCTCTCAACATCCTCTGGGAGTTACAAAAACCAAAAGAGCACCTGCATAGAAGTCTATCCCACCTTCTCAGTGGCTGAGAGCTTCTTTCCAGCCTTCTTCTACTATGTGATTGGTGGAGTCTCCTCTACCTCTAACCAAAGTTGGAAAAGGCTTCTACACAAGTACAGTGCTTCATTGAAGCCTTTCTTAACTTGCATAGATGTTAGAAACAGGAAACTTGGAGATGACATTGGTCTAGGCTAATTTTGTTGCACTTTTAATTCAGTGAGAAAAAAACTACATCCACAGTGTGAATATCTTCAGAGTGGCAAATAATTACATAGGACAATAAACCACCCCATAAGTTAATACAGTAAGCAATCAGGCTACTTAATGGGCAGCAGTTCTTCAGACTTTCTGCTAGGGATCTCTCCAGTCCTTCCTGAAGAAGCCAGAGACTGAACCTGGGCTTTTGTGCAGGCAAAAAGTGTGCCTCACTAACTGGTTTGGTATCTATGGGTACTGATTACTTAAAAGTCTACACAATACTGAACCCTGTATTCATGCCAAGAGGGGAAACATCACTAGGCAAAAAATACTGACACTAGCATTAGTGTATTTAGGAAGCCAGCAAGACTGTGGCGTGGAAGGAACTGAAATAGTGGCATCCTAGCGGAGTAAAGCATCTAAATTTCTGAGTACAGTTCAAAGTGCTGCTTATGATTGATAAAGGGGTACACAGTTTGGGCCAAGGCCTTTTGAAATGCCAGCAATGCTTGCCAAAATCCTTTGGAGACATCCTACTCTTTGAGGTATATTTGGTGGAAACCCAAGAGGAGACATCTTCTGTAGCTGCTCCCGGGCTCTGGAGTCTTCTTCCAGAGGTGGCAGGCTTCCTTCTAACAGGAAGCCAATATATATATTTATTCAGACAGGCTTTGAGCTATAACACAGATCTTTGTATTACAGAGAGATACATACAGAGAAATAGGGATACATATATTTTTAACTCTGTTTTCATTATCAGTAAACCTTTAGTCTGTATTGTTATTAATAACTATATATTTAGTTATTTATGGCATCTTTCAACATTGTCATTAATTGTTTTAAATAAACAGTTGGCAGAAATGCTTATCAAATATGAAGATGACATAAAAGTAAGTAGATAGCTAATACTGCAAGATAGTGTTGCCCAACCTCGGCTAATACTTGGGACATGTTTCCAGATGTATGATTTTCAACTCCCAGAATTTCACAGTCAGTATGGCCATTCCTGAAAACGCCAGAAGTCTGTATATCTAGAGGTTTTCAGGTTGAAAAATATTAAAATTTAGGATTAAAACCCAATACAAAATTATATTAATAGATTTGAGAAAAATCACAAAAGCAAATGTACTAATGAAACAAAGGAAGATCTTAGAAAAAATGAAACAAATGCACAGGTAGAGAGCATGAGAGGATATCTGGCCTGATATTACTAAATCTGAAAAAAATCTTAGAACTGAATAGGAATTGGCAACTCAAAATATGGCTACTCAGAAGTCAAATGCAGTTTTAGACTGTGTGAACAGAATTTCATTTATCTAATCAGGAGAAGTTATAATTATATTCTACTTTGAGTACTTTGTCCAGTTCTGGGCACCACGCTTTAAAAGAGCATCAGTTAAAAACTTGCAGAAAAGAGCAACAAGGGGATTAAAATGTAACTCTTATTTTTAAAACAAAGTCAAAGAAAATTGATATGTTTAGAGCTGAGCAAAGATTTTGGAAGGGGAATATAAAAGCACTTTTCAAGGAAATGAAGACGTGTCATACAGAAGTTAAGACCTGTCCTCTATCATTGAGATGGAATAATGGTCATAAGGAACAGGAAGAGAGATTCCAGCTGAATATTAGAAAATACTTCCAAAAGTCATAGTTTGATAGGGGAGCTAAGTATGTGGAAGATAGTGAGCTGTGCTTCAGGGGATGTAATCTGGCATTATTTTACTTATTACTTCTGCATTAAGGAAGGGATTCAATTAATGTACCTAAAAGTTCCCTTCTAATTCTATGACTCTAATGGAAATATGAGTATAAACACAATACATACATTATAAATTAATTAATTACATAATTTATGTGGGGGAAAACAGAAAGATTTCTTTTGGAAAGATGGGACTATTGGAAAACTGTATTTAGCTGAAGTGGGGGTGCTTGTAAGGTATCCACAAATGAGGAAGAGGCATGTCAGACCTTCTCTTATAAATGCACCTCTTCCCCATATATAATGTCAGTCATATGAATAATTTCTTACACCTACATGCCTTTAGAAACCATAGCATAATGCTTGAAATGAAGAACAAATTCTATGACTGGGTTACTGACCAGACACCTCCTCTTTGGTTTGATTAGAGACTTTCTGTGGTATCTCTTTCACGAAATTTCTTGCCTACAAGCAAAAGACATCCAGACAGACACAGATGAAGACACAAACAAACAAAGCTCAGATCTCAGAATATAAGTCAAGTAAAACATGAGCCCAAGCTGTTGAAGAAAAGACAAAGCCCCCAAGAAGATACATTTGCCATTTCCCCAGATTAACAAATTTAATCCATTTCGAGGACATAGTACAGGTCTCATACAAATAGAGTTCATCAGTCCATGAACAGAATGGCTCCAAACAATGACCAATGATTGTTGAAGTGGCCATTTTGTCCTGTTCCTCAACCTTTCATGGGCATCCATCTTATTGCACTGGCACTTGGAGTAGATACTTGGAAAGAGAATTGTAGAAGAAAAGGAGGGTGTTACCTTTATTAGAGTACTGTTGAGATCTAAACGTGTCACATCAGATATCAAATTAAGCGGATGGCTGACATCAGGAATCTGCAGAAAGAAATAATGCAAAAACCTATCTTTTTATTGTTTGATCAACCCCAGTTAAGCAATTGGGTATGTACTATGTTTCTAGTGGGATGCAGTGAAAACACATGAAGCAAGAGCTGCCACATAGAAATGTGTGTATACATATGGATGATTAGGAGTTAATGAACACAGAACTAGACAACTTGAAAACATACTCCTACATTGTAACCTATTCTGTATGGTGTTACAATTGGAATACATTTTGTTTTATGGCTTCTGATTTCAGCCTCCCATAGGTCAATTATCTCAGCAATCTTACCCCAATTACATTATGCTTCCTTAGCCGGACTTTTAAGATGTATCATTAATTGCATTTCTATGCCCCCCAAAAAAAACATTGAACAGTTCACCGTACCCCTGACCCAATCAGATCTTTTCCTATGCCGTCCAATAATCCACCCTGCCCATTCATATATTTCTCTCTCTTCCAAACCCCATTCTACCGTATCAAAATTGGCTTCAGGCGTCAGGTTCTCTACGGACACTTCCTCACAGGGGCTGCCACATTCTTTCAGAGTGGCATTGATCTCGGTTCTCAGGTCAGTCAGCTTTTTGTTCAGCTCTTTTTGTATTTCCTGCAAGCGAGCACCAGTCTGGTTGACTTTCTGGAGTTCCTGATCTATGCTCTGAATGTCTATAAAATAAAAAGTAGGAAGGACAGAAGAAAGACTGAGGAAAAATTCCACAACCTGAAGTATCCATTTAGTTCTTGATTGTAAAAGAACTTAGAGATGATCTTGTGCAAGATATAAAAGACCATTAAATAAGGAAAGAGTTGGACATGATTTTGCACTGTGAAGCGGTATATAAAGTCTAAGTGCTATTGCTATGTTTCATGGTCCAGAAATAGAAAGAAGCATGAGAAAGAAATTCAAAATAATACCACTTTGATTTTGTTTGGATAGGATGGGACAGAGAGAAACTTGAGCAGGCTTTTAAGACTCTGTTATATCCTATAACAATAAATGACATTCCTAGAATCCCTTTGATGTCTGTTTCTTGACCTGGCACTGATTTAGTCCACAGGGAGTTACCCCTCAAACATATAAAACATAATAAAATCAATCAATATGTCTCCAGCAGTTTCCTAGCCTTTGGGTTCCCGTGGTTTTGCTCTGGAGAGAAAAACAAGATTTTTTTTTTCTTGTCATAGCATCTCTTATGATAAAGTTAGCAAATCACTTGTCTCTAGAACTATAACAAAGTCTAGAGCTTTTTTATGAGAACTTTCTGTAAAAGTTCCTTCAACTTCTGGGTTGCCCTCTATTACCAATGTATATGGGCTTCCATTCTACTATTATATCTCAATACCATTTCCTAATCCAGTCTCTCTTGCAATACCTTGAAGAAGCTGCTCAGCTGTGTCTAATACTTTGTTTGTTCGTCCACCTAATTTATCCTTGATCTTGCTCCCCAAGGTATCACCAATATCTACAAAGAAGGAAAGCATCAACACAAAGTTATTAACAGAAATATTTTTTCCACTGCCATTTGCCTGTAAAACCCCACGGCCATTTAAAATTTTTAGGATGGATGGACAGAAATGTGCAAATGTAAATATCTTTTTGCATATATTTTTTCATTTGACCATACCCATTTTTCTTTCACTTTACACATGGAAACCCCCCAAAAGATGATATGATTCACATCACTTGGCCTAAAAAAGCTTGTGCGCTCATGCACTCAAAAATAACAATAAAAATTTATACCCCACCTTTATTTTGTACAATTCAAGGTAGTGTACACAACATTTTGTTTCCTATTTCTCTAGAATGCTCTGAAAAAATTCAGAGGTATCTTCCTAATCTGATTCTCTGTAATCATGGGATGCAGTGCAAAAATGATATTTCACAATTTGAGACATTTCCAATATGTCATCATGAATCTTTTACTTTCTTTCACTAGAGATTGCATACGTCTTTTACCCCAGAATTGTAGCCAAAGCATAAACTTACTCCACAAGCTCACATTGACCTGATCCAGTGGCACGTTACTAGACCTGATGATGTCATTAATCTCCTGTGGGAGAGATAAAATAAAATCCTACATTAACAGAGAAGATAGCACACAAAACTAAAATCCTAAACTTGGGATTCGTGGATTCATGGAAATTATGAGGAAAAACATAGGATGTCATATACAATTTGAACACAAGATTATTAAAATATGTTTATTGTACCAAAAAGCCCTCCTCTATATTTCAGATATAAAGTCATATACTGACTAACTGTATATAGATTCAGCTGGCAAAGTTGCTGGAACCATCAGAATTGTTGAACCAAAGAGTCATTATATATAAACATCAAAGACTGAAATACAATCATATAAAAAATAGGTGCTATATTGCCCTGCAACAATATTTGTTGAAGATCTTAGTGGACTACTTCTAAGGAACTGTCCTATGTGCTTTTTGTCACAGAAAAAAATACGATACACAAAATAAATGCAATATTTGGTTTCTAGAGGTAAATAAATGAGAGAGGAGGGAGAGAAAGGGAGGGAGGGAGAAAGAAAGAGATGGAGCTATTTGGAAGATAGTCTAGAAATATCCATTAGTATAGAATACAGCAGCTAGATAAATAATTGGAATGGGCACTACGATCATATGTTTCCTGTGCTGGCTCATTTCAAGTAAAAAGAGTTGGTACCAACCAATGAAGTCCTTCACAACTTGGGGGCACAACTTCTGAAAGGATGTACCTTTCTCTGAACTGCTAATTGTGCATTGCAGTCATCTTTAGAAGTCCTGCTCTAAATGCCCTCCTATCTTGAAGTTTGGAGCACAACCATCTGAGTGATAGCGCTCCAATTTTGGCAAGGTCTCATTGGAGATAAAGCTTGACAACCACTTTTTCGATACTAAAAACTAAGGCCTTTTTAAAAAAATTCTAAGGCCTTTTTTTTGCCATAAAGCAGTCATGTTATTTGATTGTTAAGATAATCTAATTGTTACTTTTTCTAAGTCATTTTCACTAGATGTTTTATGCTGCTTTTTATGTATTCAGATATTATTGACATTTTAGGATATTTGGATTTATATTGTCTTATTAAAAACCATTATGAAAGAAAGCATATAAATCAACCAAGGTCACAAACTGGCTACCCAAAAGTAATTTTAGTTCCAGTGAAGGGGAACCAGAGCACAGATATTCCAAGATTCTATTCTACAATCTTTTCTTGCCAGATCCCCTGATTGCTAATCTTGCCATATCCCTTGGTTGCTAATGGTTAAAAAACATTCGTGGATTTAGATACTTTTCTGATTTTTGCAAAGATTTCTTGGAACCATTGTTCTACAAAAGCAATTCTCAGAAGCACAGGTAGTCCTTGACTTACGACCACAATTGAGCCCAAAATTTATATTGCTAAGTGAGAAATTTGTTAAGTGATTTTTGCCCCATTGTTCTTTTGTTAAATGAATCACTGCAGTTGTTAAGTTAGTAACACGGTAGTTAAGTGAATCCGACTTCCCCATTGATTTTGTTTGTCAGAAGGTCACAAAAAGGATCATGTGACCTTGGGACATTGCAACCGTCATAAATATGAGTCAGTTGTCAAGTATCTGAATTTTGCTCATGTGACAATGAGGATGCTGCAATGGTCGTTAAGTGAAAAATGGTCATAAGTCACATTTTTCAGTGCCGTTGTAACTTTGAACAGTTACTAAACAAACTATTGTAAGTTGAGAACTACCTGTATACAGTACGACATGATACAGTGGTCCAAGCAGAGCTGCCTTTGAAGGGAACTGCTACTGAAACAATGTTGTTGGTAAAAATCTAAATCAAAATCATTTTAAACATTTTTCTGTTAACAGCAATTATTGCTTGCTCCTTCTGCTATTATGAAAATCATTACATTTTATTGCTTCTACTTTAACGTTAATTGGTTATGGGCCATAATAGAAGGCACAGATAGATTGCATGAAAATGCATGGTCATCAACAACAGTTATGAACATTGACATATCTCTTTGATTTACTTAAGAGTTTTACTCTATGTTTTAGCCTTCAACTAGGACAGTGGTTCTCAACCTTTTTAATGCTGCGACCCCAACCGGTCGTAAGTCGAGGACTACCCAACCTGTCGTAAGTCGAGGACTTTCCCTGTCCGGGAGTGCCACGCATGCATGGTGCCACCCCCTGCGCCGGCCGAGGTGTAGCTGGCAAGCAGCAGAGACGGAGCAGGCCAACTACCAGCTGGGCCACCAGCTGGCCCAGCCCAAGGGAGGTAAGGCACCCGCCGGGCCCCAAGCGCACCAGCAACCCTCCCTGCGCCCGCCGGCCTCCCACCCCTGGCCCTCTTTTACTTACATTTTTAGTAGTTGCTCAGCAGGGAGGGGTGGAAACTTCCAGACAGCTCGCCTTCGCTGCAGACAACTTGCAGCACCGTTTGCAGAATGGGACTTTTGGCGGGCTCAGCAGGGCAGAGACAGCCTGGACAATTCCTATTGGCTTTTGAAAGCCAATAGAATTAGACTCTATTCAAGAGAGTCTATTCTATTGGCTTTCAAAAGCCAATAGAATAAAAGGGAGTAGCACAGCTAAGGAAAAGGGGGAAAAAATGGTGGACTGCATTGTTTGGCGACCCCCGTGAAATGGTCGTTCAATCCCAAATGGGGTCCCGACCCACAGGTTGAGAACCACTGAACTAGGATATGGAAAAGCTTTAGACCTTTACCTGTTTCTTTGGTAGGATCTTCCCTAGTATTAACAGGATCTAATGTTTATTTGCCAGCAGGCAATACATAAGTAATTTAGTACAGGCATTGAAGTATTAAAACTATAGTTAAGAGAATAGTAACATGCTGGTGGGTTAAAAGGAGCCAACCAGTTTTCTCAAGAGAAGTAGAAGAAATGCTACAGAATGGAAGCAATGGAACGGAATGGAATCAAAGATATTTTGCTGGAAAACAGAGCAAGCCGCATGGCAACTGGAACTAATACAGTGTAGGGTATGAAAAAATAGGATAAGATAGAGGGGTCATATTTACCTGAGGTATAGAATTCAGATAAACATTCAGGTTGCTCACTGTTTTGTTGAAAATGTCAAAACCGCTCCCTAGACCCTGGGATAAACGTTGATTGCTGACATAGGCACATATATCTCCAGCCCTTTAGCAGAAGAAGTAAAAATAAAAGAACAAAGTTGTGAAAGGCAACTAAGTAACATCATTCAGTAGGCTGCAAACATAGCAATATATTGAGGTCTCATCCAACTGATGTAAGATATAAATGCAATAAATAAATAAAATTTATTTGGACATTGATGTTGTTTTAAGTATTTTAAAAGCTATGGGGATACAAATCTTGTAAAATGTTTAGATGTAAAATGAGTTGAGTTTTTCTAGCTTTGTATGATGTATGAAGCCACCAATTCTGCCCTAATATTATCTATGAAGTAGTTTATTATGTTCAACAATACATGGTTTAAAAAGATACCTTAGCATTATGTGTGAAGCTAAACATAATATAAGGAAAAAGTATGGCTCAGAGCCAGCACTTAATGCCTTTTGTTCTTTCTAACATTACAGAATCATAGTGTGATTTCAGCTGGGAATCCCCTAGTTATGTGATTTGTCAAAATAATTTTATGTTCTGTAGCACCTTCTCTCTCTAACCCCATCAACTCACTTGTGGTTAATTATGCCACGCACAATATCTTTGTAATCCTGCCTGCATTAACAAAAATACATTATAGCTAACTTTGATTTTTGTGTCCTTCTGGGAATAGTATAGAAACAAATTATATAGAAGAGTTCTCCAATGTGTGGGAATTTCTGTAAGGAAAAATAAAGGTGTGTGTGCAATCCACACATGCTCAAGGGCATATTTATGCTTTAACAATGTGCTTGCTTCTGGGAAAAAAATTGCTGAGGGGAGTTTTGGCAAAATCAAGCATTACCAGGAACATTCCAGGCTGCTATCACATGGTTGCACTCTTTGGCCATAGAGCAACTTCATAACTGTTTAGTCCCACCCAGTGGAATCTACTCCCCCACCATGGCCATTTCCTTTACAGCTTCCCTGCTTGGCCCATCCCATCCTAGGCCCAACTTTCAGGAAACCATTCCCCAAATACAAACAATCCTGACAGACTTGCCAAGGGGACAAAAGAACTCACATCTCAGTTAACTCTGTCCTTCAGCCACTGTGAATATTATATTAGGAACATCTGCTGTGTTAGTACAATACTTATCCATACAAATCAAGGAATCTGATTTCAGTGTGTTTCCAGAGGACTGATCACATTAGCCTTTTGCTGCCAAATCAACAAGAAGCATCTTAAAGAGTAATCAATTTATTACAACTTCATCTTTCATGGATCTTTGTCCACTTCAGGAGATACAACTATAAACTTTAAGGTGCTACCCAATTTTCTGTCAATGTAAACCAATCTAATGTAGAGGTGCAGGAGTAGCTACTTTAAACCAGAGGCTATAAAGATAAGCAAAAGCCCATAGAATAGTCACATTCCCTCATGCTCATTCTGTCGTTCTTCATAGGATAAAACTTACAGAAGAACAGCAGTGATGCCCAGCAGAAAGCAAAAAAGAGTCTGTCTCTTGCAGACAGTGTGCTTATTCTGCTTCTGGTACATGAAACCTCCACAATGTCCACAGCAGCGGCAGCAACAGAAATACAAGCCCACTAGAGGCACAAGGACGATGAACAGAAGACCAATGACAGTACAAACCAGGAAGCCCGTCTCATACTTTAGCATCTAGAGATGGAGGGAAGCAAGAGAGAGTTAACAGAGTTAGCAATCTGTGGATGCTTCTCCATAATGCAGAGAGAAGGATAGAAAATTAAACAGGAGGCTGCCTTCAGGAGTGGGCATATTCCATTGGATTTACCTCAGATACCATTTTTACTGCCTCAAAAAAAAAAAAAATCACTAAACAGCAAAAATGTTATTTTAAAGTCTCAATCAATTAACCAGATCTAGCAAAGGACAATGAGGCTTCAGCATATCAAGTCTTAGACATTTTCACATTTTCATTAACCACAAGGATCACACTCTATTTACCTCTTTATACACTGTCTGGTTTTGAAGGAAATCTGGATGCCTGATCACATATGTCAGGAGATCTAGGGAAAAGCACAGAGAGGTTGACAGAAAATGCTATCATTTATTTATTAACATCTATAAATAATCTAAAATCTATAAAAAATTCCTATCTGGACTCTGATTACCAGGCTGAAAATGTCCATTTCTCCAGCTCCCTTTCTCCAAAGCCATTTTTACTGTTGGATATATGTATGGCAAATATAGTATTTTTAAAAGAGTGAAGACATTTTTCATTCAAAACAATTAAATGAAAATAATGCCTAGAAGGATTTCAATATTTTGACTTTTCCCACATATTTGTGTGGGAAATCACTAATTAACTTAACTGGCCAGAAAAGAAAAGGTTACAGTGGCATTGGATATAGGAAGAATTCATGAACCTTTTTACCCATGGGCTTCTGGAAACTTTAGGGAGATACCAGCCTTCAGAATACATAAAACTTTCCTCTTTAGTTCCAGGAACAGAAAAGTTCAGGTAACTAGATTTAATCCTATCACCCAAATACGTATTTCCTTTGACACTGCTCTGCAAGCAGTATTTCCTCTCTGCCTCTAGGTGGTATAATGCTACATGCTTTGCAAACGTTCTCCATTTCAAAGGTTATCAGCTTGGAACCATAAAGGAACAGACAGACAATGCAATAGGAAATAGCTATAACAAATATTCTATATGGGGATTGGGTACAGCTATAAGGAAGTCAGCTGAAAATTAAAAGATTATAATATATCTGAGTCATGCTAGACTCTAAATGATCCAAATTCCATATAGCAATGAATGAACTGCTACACTGCACCAGTGAAGAACCCATCTGCAGATCTGAAAGTTCCCATTATTCTATCTAATCATGAGAAACTGGTAAAAAAATGGCTCCATGACCAAACATTCTTTTTTTTCCACCTTTTTTTCTACCCACATGACTGATAAATAACTCTTTAACATCAATCATCTTGTAACAATTTTGTACAACTTCAATAAAGGTGCCTTTATGAATTTTCATATTGGTTTTCCTAATGGTCAACATGTCAACTATAGCTTTTTAAACTAGAACAGTGATGAGCAACTTTTTGATGGCTGAGGACCATATTTAATCTTGAGAAGAGATTCATAGATGCTAACAATGCAAATCAGCAGTATTGAGCTGTTTAGCTTGTGGACTGTTCTAAGAGTTTTGCTGTAGACCTTTATTTTTTTTTAAGCTATATTAAGGCAGTTCTGTGACCTACACCAGTGGTTCTCAACCTGTGGGTCGGGACCCCATTTGGGGTCGAACGACCATTTCACGGGGGTCGCCAAACAAGGCTGTCCGCCATTTTTTCCCCCTTTTCTTTGGCCACGCCCCTGGCACCCAGTGATGTATAAGTGGTTGGGGGTCACCACAACATGGGGAACTGTATTATGGGGTCGCGGCATTAGAAAGGTTGAGAATCACTGACCTACACTATAGAGTTCATATATTTTATGGCCAAAATGGCAGCAGGCTCCAGTGCTAATTTTCAGATATTAGCTGAATGGCCTTGGGACAGGATGTAATTCACCCTTAAGTTAAAAGAAAAATGCTTATCGTAAGTATGATTTTTGCTTGTTAAAATATATGATTTAATCTGAAGTAAACATTTGACATAAAAATACCCAGGATTCAGGAAGAATATTCAAGAGAATATGGGATATATATATATATTTTTTTAACCCAATACGATGTAGCAATAAGGAGTGGCGCGGTGGCCTAGAGGTGAAAACGCTTGCTTCCCACTTGGAAGGTTGAGAGTTCAATCCTAAGCAGTGGCAGATGTTTCTCTATCAGGGTGAAAAGGGAAAATATCTGCTGGGAACTCCGTGTAGGCGTCTGGAAGGACATCCGGCCAGTAAATGCTCAGCTCCACTAATCATCCCGACTCCACCCCGAAGCAAGGGATTAAAGGGTTGTAAAAAGAAAAAAAAGATGTAGCAATAGAATTAAATGCTTTTTCAGGTTTGAAAACGTATCTATCAGGCAGACTGATGCCTCAGCACATTTTATTTTCATGATTGTACACTGCAGCAGAATTGATGCTGCCATACTCCATCAAGAGACCTCATCTTGAAATATACCCTCTAAGCATCAAAATCTTTTTGCAGCTTTTGAACCCTCTTTCAGCTGTTTGCACTTCCAGTAAAACTCACTTTATTTGCAGAAATATCTCTCTTGTTTACCCATAACAAACATTTTTGGTTTTGTTTCCTTTTAATGCATTATCTCAACTTCCCCTTATGATCTTGATTTTCTTAATGCTACCTTGGGAACTAACCTCCTCTGAAAGTCACTTTATATAACATATAAATACATTTAACTGAATTAGATTTAATTTAAATGACTTAGATTTAATATAAATTTAAATGAGTTAGATTTACTAAGATCTCTTGTGGCAAGTAAAAAAGGCACTGAAGAAAGCACATAAGGTGTTTTACAAAGAATGAGAAATACCTTTTATAAAAAGAAAAGCAGGCTTCTCATTTGCAAGAGTACAGTATGAATTTGACAAAACAACATTTTTGCTGGGATTGAACCTTGTGTACACTTTGCACAAGAGAGTTTGAGCATTGGGTCCTAAGCACTTAAGACAAATCAATAAAATAATGTTAAAAAGATATCTCTGCTTGAATGCAGGCTATATCCTACAGAGGAAATCAAATGGTGGAGTGTAGTCTGGATTCCCCATGAGGGAGAGGCTGCATTCCAGATGACCAAGAAACAGTGAAGTTTAGATAGTTTGGTTGGGGGGAAAGAGGGTCAAGATAGCTGCTTCCTAGAAGTCCTCAGAGTATGTCTTTAATAATGCAAGTAGTTGCTTAGAGTTTAGCAAGATTTCTGTATATAGGTAAGGGACAATAAAGGAAACTGCTTACAGTGTAACTCTGCATGTCTTTCTTGCTTTTTTTTTTTTTTTTGAGCCTAACATCAAATTAAACATTGCTTTACCATAACATAGGATAGGATAGGAAAAGGGAAACACATTTTTTTTTTTTGTTCAAGAAACTTTTCTTCAAAAATCTCTTAAATCCAGATAACTAAAGGGCAGCATATCCTGGCATCATCCCAGCAGACCATTGGAAATGGCTCTCCCTGCCTCCTAGGAAGACCACCAAGGCAATGTGAAGGACGTCAGTCTGGTTCCTTATAAAAGGCTGCTGTGAGCTTGCTTATCTTTAGCTCTTCCAAATAATTTCTACAGGGATAGCTCTTAAATTAAAATGCCATTAAAATACCCTCTAGAGCAGTGGTTCTCAACCTGTGGGTCGGGACCCCATTTGGGGTCGAACGACCATTTCACGGGGGTCGCCAAACAACGCAGTCCGCCATTTTTTCCCCCTTTTCCTTAGCTGTGCTACTCCCTTTTATTCTATTGGCTTTTGAAAGCCAATAGAATAGACTCTCTTGAATAGAGTCTAATTCTATTGGCTTTCAAAAGCCAATAGGAATTGTCCAGGCTGTCTCTGCCCTGCTGAGCTCGCCAAAAGTCCCATTCTGCAAACGGTGCTGCACCAGCTGAGTAGTCCTCAACTTACAACCGGTTGAGTAGTCCTCGACTTACGACCGGTTGGGGGTCGCGGTATTAAAAAGGTTGAGAACCACTGCTCTAGAGGGTAATTCAGAGACTACTAGTTTTCTCCATAGTTTCTGTCAAAGTATAACATCAAAAGCCACCTTTAGATTTATGAAGGCAATGTAGAGGATTCCATTTGGGAGATTATTGTTATTTTTCTGTTAAATGATACGGAATTATATGCTGGTTCATTACAAAGCATCCAGATCTGAAACTGGCCTGCTCAGGTACAAAAATATTCTTAGAGTGTAGCCAATCTGAACATTTATGACATAAAATTTGGCATATAGTTTATTAATTACTGAAAGAAGACTGGGTGATCATTAACATTATATTGGGAGAGTAATGGAATTATGTGTTATGTATCCTTGGGCATACATATAATATATGCAAGTCAAAAGAGAGACTAACATCAATTCCCACCATATTGGATTTATCTTTAAAAATTCAGATGGAATTAAATATTTGCCAGGAGTTTTATTACTTTTTGACGGGCATTTTTTTAAAAAATTTCAACACTCTGAATAAGATCATCTAGTGACTGAATATTGAGGGTACTGTCTTGGATAGTAAAAAGACCTCAGAAATGTCTGGGCCAAGTATGAAGAAAAACTATGGGATAAGTATGATTATTGTTTTTATGTTAGCTATAGAGTTAGAAAAGCTGTCCAAACAGACAATGATCTTTATTCATTACAATCTATTAGATCCTGGCCCAGAACTTTAGTATAAACCTGTTTTTTTCTCCATTCACCAATAATAGCTCTATTTTTATCTATTTAAAAAAATTACAGGTGTTAAAATCATTAGTTGTTCTGGCTATCCTATATGCTAGCACTGTCCGGGCTGTACATTCGTTATCATTAACATGGTTTGGATCTCATAGCGGATTGGTATTAAGATGAGGTTGGAAAAGATTAAATATATTTTTGAGCAAAACTAATGAAACTTTGAAAAATTGAGATTATTTCAAGATGGTCATTTGAAGCAAGTAGTGACTGATTCAGTTGGGTAACTTGTGGAACTTCAAAAAACTGATTTGTGCCCAAAGTCAACTTATATAGCCACATTGATCTAGGATACCTGCCATTGGAGGGTAAATTCTTATTAAATTTCTGGTGGTTTTATTCACTTCTTATGGAAGTGAAAAGTCCCAGTAATGATAGCTGATCACTCTCAAAATGAAAAGTTACTCTGCAATTTTTGCAATGAGGTATATAGCCACTAGAGTTAGATGTAGAGAATAAAGAGGAAAAGAGGGAAGGAACATTACCAGAAATGAGAATGAAAATACAGTTAAAATCCCGAACATGTAGAAATAAGGTGACCAACTTTTTTACAATGAAAAGGAGGACACAAATAAATTGAAGAAAAAAATATCGTAAATAAAAGAAACATTTTATTCATTGCAACAATAATACAGACAACTTGCATGTGC